GTTATTATTATTATTATTACTACTACTACTACTACTATTACTATTACTATTATCTTGTATTCATTAAACATGAACCTCAGTCAACTGAACATTCAAATTGGCTGGCGCTGATTATGATTATTATTATGGATCATCGCACAGTCAGCCAGATGTTCAGACTGGATTTGGCATTTTGTCTACCTATCGAGTCCTTACCCAGGACCTGGGATAGGCAGACGTGGATGTTTGATGGTATTACAGATATCATCGCAGGATGGAAGCAGTTCCCAGTAAGGCCGCCTTCTGCAATTGACTAATAGCGAATTTGTCAATGCCAATGGTGTCCAAGTGGTGCTCCAGTTGTTTTGGGATTGCACCCAAGGAGCCTATGACTATTGGTACTACCCTTGCTTGCTTTTGCCACAGTCTTTCTATTTCTATTTGTAGGTCTTTGTATTTTGTTATCTTCTCCAGTTCTTTCTCGTCTATTCTGCTGTCTCCAGGCACTGCCACGTCCACTCTCCAGACTTTTTTCTCTTTCTTATCGACAATTGTTAAGTCTGGGGTATTATTATTATTATTATTATTATTATTATTATTATTATTATTATTACTATTATTACTGTCAGCAATCTTGTAGGCAAGGGCCATCAGAGGCTGGAGAGTCCCCTATCCTGGATGGTTTTAAGGAATCCTGCAGGGTGCAAAGGGGTGGATTGGATGACCTCTTGAGTCTCTTCCAACTCTGATTCTTAAAAAAAAAAAATGACAGGCCTTGTCCGTGCAGAGACTGTGTGGGGTCTGGACACTTGCTTATCCCCTGCCCCCTTCTGGCAGTTCCTGCCCCCTTTCCCAGTTGAGAGGACCCATAGTGCTCTGGGGCAGCCCTCCTGATTGCGCCCCCCCCCCAATCCTGTCCTCTCTTGCCAACATTTAGAGACCTACAGTGGTTGGTGACAAGGAGGGAGGGGAAGGGGAGGCAGCAGAATGAAGAGGGCCCTCCTTCTGTCCCCTGGCTATGAGAAGGGGGGCTGGGGGCTTGGGGGGAGGGGGCGAGGTCAGTGCTGGGCAAGGCTGATGGGGAGAGGTGGGTTCCTGCAAGAGGCAGCATTGGAGGCCTGGCTAGCTTCAGGGAAAGCTGGGTAAACTGGAGGAGGAGGAGGAGGAGGAGAAGGGGAGGGGGAGGAGCAGAAGGAGAAGGAAAGGGAGGAGAAGAGGAGGGAGAGAAAGGGGAAGAGAAGAGGAAGAGGAGGGAGAGGGGAGGGAGAGGAAGAGGAGGAGGAGAGGGAGAAGGAGGAAGAGAAGAAAGGAGGAAGTGAAGGAGGAAGAGGAGAGCAGGGAAGAGAAGGAGGAGGGGGCGAAGGAGGAAGAGGTGGTGAGGAGCAGAAGGAGAAGGAAAGGGGGAGGAGGAGGAAGAGAAGAAGGAGAGGGAGAAGAGGAAGAGGAAAAGGGGAGGAAGAGGAGGAGAGGAAAGAGGAGGAAGAAGAGGAGGGGAAGGAGGAAGAAGAGGAGGAGAAGAGGACTGCATCTGAAGCGGAGCCTCCCTAGCCCATTGCAGTCTATCCGTGAAGAGCCCACGCCGGCGCTGGCAGCGAGCGAGGCAAGCGGGCGATGCTGCCCGGCACCCGGCATCCATCTCTCCGCGCCCCCGGCACCCCCCCACACCCCACCCCTCCCCCCTGCGCGCTCAACCCGCGCAGCTTCGCCTTTTGGCCGGGATCCGCGCGCCCCCCCCCCCAAACCTGGCCGCCTGCCGGTGTTCCTGGACCTCCGCACGCAGGAGCCTCTTTGCAGTTGGCAGCGCCCCGGTCTGGGAGCCGGCCAGCTCTCCTCTCCGCCCGCCTTGCCCTCGCCTGCCCTTCCCTTCCCTTCGCCCCCCCCCTCCCCGGAGCTGTGCAAGGTGCGGGGGGGGGCGGCAAAGGCCGGCAGCCCCGGCGACCCCCCCTCTCCACGTGCCACGCGCGCGCTTCTCAAGCGCCACTTGCGCGCAGCTCTTCCAACTTCACCGGGGTGGGGTGGGGGTGTTAAGGGGGACCCTTTGGGGGAGTCCGACTTCCTCCTGTCCCCCCCCCCGACCCACCGGCTCGGGGTCCAGCCCAGCCCAGCCCCCCCCCCTCTTTTTTTTCCCATCCCGGCTAGGGCACCTTGAGCCGGTGCGGCGCGCTTCACCGGATCTTCACCTTCCCAGCCTGATTCTCTCCTAGCCCCTTCCCCAACCTCCCCATTGATTGCTCTTCCCCCCCCCCCACGGTGCCACCCTCCCAGGACCCTTCCAGCCTTGTTCCCCCCCCCCGGGGAGAAAGGCCCCTCCCGTCCCACAAAGCGACCCCCACCCGTCTGGGGCAGCCCCCCCCCAAAGCAAAGCGTCTTTCCTGGAACGCCCTGGAATTGCCCCACTTTGGGTGAGGAGGGGGGAGGCTCAGAGGGAGGGGAGGGGAGGGGGTCAGCCCGGACGGGGGCTCTGCGGCGGGTCCCCCCCTGCCGCCCCCCCGCCCAAGCCCGCCGGGGAATCTCCGAGGGGCTTCCCTGCAGAGCCCCTGCGCCCGCCTTCCGCCTGAGCGGGCGGTGGTTGCAAACTCCGAGTTCCCAGCGGTGGAGGAGAGGCCGGGCAGGGTAATAAAAAAAAAATGAGGCGTTTTTATTGCCGGGAATAAATTTATTTATGGGAAGAGTCCACGAGGCCAAGCGAGGCGCTCCGCTCGCCTGGCGGAAAAAAAGAAAGAAAGAAAGAAACAGCCTCGTTTTATCGGGCGCAAGATGGGAAACAATTCGGAGGTGAAGCCCGGGGGCGGCGCCCCTCCCAGCGTAGGTGGGACTTGGGGGGGGGTCGCTACCACCTGCCCCCCTGACACTGTCCACCCTTGGGCGCAGCCCCCCCCAGGCATCCCCCCCCCAAGTCAGCTGCTAGCTAGGATAAGCAGCTCCTCCAAATTCACTCAAAGACTGGGGTCCCGGTGGATCTGTCTGAACGCCCCCCTCCCGGGCTTTCCCCCCTTCCCGACGCCGTTGCTCTATTTTAACGCGCCCCCCCGGGGGGCTTTCCACCCCTCCCCACTAAACGTGCGGACGTCCCACTAAAATCCGAGCCGTAGAAATAATTTGTGGAGGGAGGCAGCTCCGGGTATATTTTTAAGGATAAGGGGCACGTTTGATGGAGGGGGTGGGGTGGGGGGGAGGAAAGACAGAGAGAATAAATGTGATGAATGAAAGGGTGCCCACTCACTCAGCCGTGCCCTTCTCCTTCCCTCCCTCCCTCCCCCCACCCACCCACCCCCCCTGCCCCGTTGACCAGCCCTGCTTGGCTTCGCTTCCCCCACGCCCTGCGGTGCCAGGACAGCTACCTGCTCCAGGAGCGCCACCACCACCTGGGCACGCTACCCCGTTCTGGGTCAGCCTCCTTGTCCCCCTCCCTCCCTCCGTCCATCCATCAAGGCGGGGGCTCTGCCTTCCGTCCCTATTCCACTGCTCTCCCCCCCCCTCTCTCTCTCCCAGCAGCCCCCTCCCTCGGCATCTGGGTAACCTTGTTGGGAGCTTTCCCTGCAACGGTGGCTGCAACGTGCAAGGCGGGGAGTGTGCAAGGCCGGGGAGGGAGGGGCGCAGGCAGGCCTCGGGGCCATCCCAGGCCGGGGGGTGGGGGTGGGGGCTCCGTCGTCCCCCCCCCTCCCGGGGCGTTGCACCACCTCGCTCGGCCTCGCTCGGCTGTCAGGAGCGCAAAAATCGCAGTCACCTTGATCTGGTTAGGCTGGAAGGGAAGACGGGCGTTCAAAGGCTGGGCTTGGGGGGAGGGGGAGGGGGAGGGGGAAGGGGAGAGAGGGTCTTCCCCCCCCTCCCCAATCCCGGCTCCCCCTATTTTTATCTGGGGGAAGAGAGAGAGAGAGACGCGAGCCAGGGTCATCCCCGCAAGGCTTTGAAGCGCAAGAGAGGTGCCCAAAGCATGTTGCAGAATCCTCTCTCCAGATCCCTTGCAGGATCGGGAGGGAAACGCACGATGGGTCTGCTGGTGTCTGAGGATTACTGCAGCGCAAAACAACAAAAAAAAAACAAAAAACCCACAAAACCCTCCCATCCCCCCCAACCCCCCAGAGCCTGGTTTGGCAATCCAGGTTGAGCCCAGGAAGAAAAGAGAAGGAAGGGGAAAAAAAAATCGATGGCGAATTGTGTCAAGGAACACACCGGAGAGACAACCTGACCTTCCAGATGCGCAACACCCAGCGAGAAGGGGAATGCCCCTGGGGGGAGGGGGGAGGAGGAGGAGGAGGAGGGGGAGGTCGTGTGAATGGCAATCCCAGCAGGCCTTGGACGCTGCAAATGGGGGGGGGGCAGCCTGCGCGCGCGCGCGCGCGCGCACACACACACACAGGGTCAAGATCGGGAAGCCTGCACACACACACATACATAAACACACAAACTCACACACAGGGTCAAGATCGGGGAAGCCTGCACACACACACACACACACACACACACACACACACACACACACACACACACAGGGTCAAGATCGGGGAAGCCTGCACATACACACAAACACACACACACAGGGTCAAGATCGGGGAAGCCTGCACACAAACACACACACACACAAACACAGGGTCTAGATCAGGGAAGCCTGCACACGCGAGCGCGCACACACACACACACAAACACACACACACAAGGTCAAGGCCCCAAGGAACAGAAGCCAAGGCAAGTCGCGCGGGTTCCCATCCTCCCTCGTGGGTGGGGGGGGGTCTGCTCGCTGCCATAATTAAGTAGCGCCCCCCCTCTGCGGTTTTGCACACTTGATCCCACACTTAAGGTGGAGGGGGGGTTGCCAACGACCGGGTGGTGATGTCACTGTCCTTGCGGATGGCGCAGTCCGAGCTGGTATAAACGTGGCGTAAAGGGGGGGGGTTGTTTTCCCTCTGTGGAAGAGTCAGGTGGGGTGAAACGGTCGGGGGGGGGCGGCGGATGGAATTTGGAACACTTCTCTGGGGAAAAGAATTGGGTCTAGCGGTGAAAGGCAGCGAAATAGAAATCAGGAGCTCGGGAGTTGTAGTTCCGCCTTAGCCATGACACGAAAGCCGAAAGCCGGCTGAATGACCTTGGGCCCATCATCAAGAGACGGTGGGAGTTCTAGTTCTGCTTTAGGCACGGAAGCCAGCTGGGTGACTTTGGACCAATCGCTAGGAAATGGTGAATTCTAGGTGCTCTGTAGCCAGGACAGCCGGCTGGGTGACTTTGGGATCATCATCAGGAGACGGTGAGTTCTAGTCTCACTTTAGGCGTGAAAGCTGACTGGCTGACTTTAATCCAGTGGTTCTCAACCTTTTTAATGCCGCGACCCCCTACCGGTCGTAAGTCGAGGACTACTCAACTGGCACGGCCCCGTTTGCAGAATGGGACTTTTGGCGGGCTCAGCAGGGGGGAGACAGCCTGGACAATTCCTATTGGCTTTGGAAAGCCAATAGAATGAGACTCTATTCAAGAGAGTCTATTCTATTGGCTTTCAAAAGCCAATAGAATAAAAGGGCGTAGCACAGCTAAGGAAAAGGGGGAAAAAATGGCAGACTGCCTTGTTTGGCGACCCCGTGAAACGGTCGTTCGACCCCAAATGGGGTCCCGACCCACAGGTGGAGAGCCACTGGAATACGGGCAGGATTTTAATTTTTTTTTAAAAAAAGAAACAGGATGTAGTAATGGCTACACCCCTGGAGGGCTTTGGAAGGAAATTAGATTCCAAGAAGTTATGCGCTATAGACTTCTCAGTGGCTGGAGTGAACATGTGCAGAGGGCCAAACGATGCTCCAGGGCAGCTTGGGGGGGGGGCATCCCTGTGGCCTCAGCCTGGCACCAACAGCCAGCCTGTGCAAGAGATACCTTTCTCGGGTGCCACCTCGTCCTTCTTAGGTTCCTCCCTTCCTCCGGTTTGGTTGGGCCTCAGTCTTCCCCTTCTGTGAAATGGGCCCACGCCTGGCTGGGAGACCTGGGGGGGGGACCGGGAGGTTTATTAAGGGCTGGACCCCGAAGTCCTTAAACCCCAGAGACGACTGACTCGGCCACCGGAGGCTCTGATGCCCAGAGATGGGTTCCGAGTTCAGATTCTGCGTTCCCTGTAAAGGAATGAGTTCCAGTCCCGCCTTAAGCACGAAAGCAGCTGGGTGGACTTTGAGCTAAGTGCTAGGAGACCGGGAGTTCTAGTCCTGAGTTAGGCGTGAAAAAAACAGCTTTGTGAGTTCGGGCCCCATCACCGGGAGACGGCGAGTTCTAGTCCTGCCTTAGGCACGACTTTGGGCTCCTTCCTCTCTCAGCCCAACCCACCCGACAAGGTTGTCGTTGCGGGGAAAGGAGGAAAGAGACGTGTTGCGTATGTCCGCCGCCTGGCGTTCTTTTTGGAAAAAAGTAAAAAAAAAAAAAAAAGCAGGATACAAATCAATAAATCTCCTGGTGGCCTCCCCTCCGAATCCTAACCAGGTCTGATTCCTTTAGCTTCTAAATCAGCAATAATTCCCCCCCCTTTAAAAATCCCTTTATCCAGCCAAGTCCCTTTTTTTTTTTTTTATTCCATTAAGGAACCAGTGGGCATATCCCGTTCTTCTTGGGTTAAAGCCATAAAATTGAAGCATTTTGCTCTTCCAACAGCCTTCCTCCCCTCCCCCCCAGCTGTCCCCCCCCCACATTAGTTGATTAAAAAAAAAATCTCTGGTTAGAGAGACCTATTTTTTCTTAGCTTGGTTTAATTTGCCTAAGAGCCTTCTGTCCCGTGTTCTCCTGCGGATGACAAGGCCAGAAGGCGAATGTATATTTTTTAAAAAATAAAATAAAATAAAAACCAGGCTTTTGTTCACCCCCCCTTCCTAGCTTTGCTTCCAAGACCTGTCAAAAGGAGAACGGAGGAGATGTTGGGAGAAGGATTTAAAAAAGAAAAAAAAAAAAGAGCCAGTTGCAAGAAAAGGCACCATTCCAGATAGCGATGTCCTTAAAGCAGGGGTTCTCAACCTTGGCAACTTTAAGACTTGTGGAGTTCAACTCCCAGAATTCCTCAGCCAGCAGAGCTGGCTGAGGAATTCTGGGAGTTGAAGTCCACAAGTCTTAAAGTTGCCAAGGTTGAGAACCCCTGCCTTAAAGTTTTTTCTTGGCTGCTCCCACCGCTGGGCGCCTGAGAAAGAAGAATCAAAAGATTTTCTCTCTTTCCACCCGGACGGTTTTGCTTTTGCACCCCCAGATTGCCGGTCCGTGGAAACGGGGTTTGTGTGTGTCTATGTGAAGGGGGGCTTTTCATTTTGAGAGCCAGGGGTCTGCGCCTGGTCTTTAGAAAGGTCAAAATGACCACACACACCCCCTGGGCACTTTGCCCTGCCATGTTTTGGGTGGAGAGGAGGAGAAGCAAACAGGAGTTACTGCCAAGATATTTGAGCATGAGATCCTGTTATGGGTAGACTTCAACTCCCAGACCTGAAGCGATTCTGGGAGTTGAAGTCCACCCGTCTGAAAGTTGTCCTGGTTGAGAAAAATGGATCTAGAGCAGCGGTTCTCCACCTGTGGGTCGGGACCCCATTTGGGGTCGAACGACCATTTCACGGGGGTCGCCAAACAACGCAGTCCGCCATTTTCCCCCCCCTTTTCCTTAGCTGGGCTACTCCCTTTTATTCTATTGGCTTTTGAAAGCCAATAGAATAGACTCTCTTGAATAGAGTCTCATTCTATTGGCTTTCCAAAGCCAATAGGAATTGTCCAGGCTGTCTCTGCCCTGCTGAGCCCGCCAAAAGTCCCATTCTGAAAACGGTGCTGCCCCAGTTGAGTAGTCCTCGACTTACGACCGGTTGGGGGTCGCGGCATTAAAAAGGTTGAGAACCACTGGACTAGATGACCTTGGGGAGCCTCCCTCCTTGCTTTCCTTCCTTCCTTCCCTCCCTCCCTTCCATCTTTCTCCTTCCTTCCTTCCTTCCTTCCTTCCTTCCTTCCTTCCTTCCTTCCTTCCTCTTTTCTATTTCTCTCCTCTACCTCCCCTCCCTCCCTCCTTCCCTTCCTCCTTCCCTTCCTCCTTCCCTTCCTCTTTTCTATTTCTCTTCTTCCCTTCCTCCCTTCCACCCTCCCTTCCACCCTTCCTTCCTTCCTCCCCTTCCTTCCTTCCTTCCTTCCTTCCTTCCTTCCTTCCTTCCTATTTCCCTCTCTTCCTTCCTCTCTCCCTCCCTTCCTGCCATCTTTCTTCTTCCTTCCTTCCTTCCTTCCTTCCCTCTCTCCCTCCCTCCCTCCCTTCCTGTTTTCTATTTCCCTCCTTCCCTCCCTTCCTTTTCTTTCTTCCTTCCCTCCTTCCCTCCCTTCCTCTTTTCTTTTTCTCTACTTCCCTCCCTCTTCCACCCTTCCTTCCTTCTTCCCTCCCTCCCTTCCACCCTTCCTTCCTCCTTCCCTTCCTCCTTCCCTTCCTCTTTTCTATTTCTCTTCTTCCCTTCCTCCCTTCCACCCTCCCTTCCACCCTTCCTTCCTTCCTCCCCTTCCTTCCTTCCTTCCTTCCTTCCTTCCTTCCTTCCTTCCTATTTCCCTCTCTTCCTTCCTCTCTCCCTCCCTTCCTGCCATCTTTCTTCTTCCTTCCTTCCCTCCTTCCTCTTTTCTATTTCCCTCCTTCCCTCCCTTCCTTTTCTTTCTTCCTTCCCTCCTTCCCTCCCTTCCTCTTTCCTTTTTCTCTACTTCCCTCCCTCTTCCACCCTTCCTTCCTTCTTCCCTCCCTCCCTTCCACCCTTCCTTCCTTCCTTCCTCTCCCTCCCTCCCTGCCATCTTTCTTCTTCCTTCCTTCCTTCCTTCCTTCCCTCTCTCCCTCCCTCCCTCCCTTCCTGTTTTCTATTTCTCTCCTTCCCTTCCTCCGTTCCTTCCTTGATTCCTTCCCTTCCCTTCCCTTCCCACCCTTCTCCATGTCCATAGGGAGACCTGGTGCCCCACTGTCCAGCCCTGGAGGGACGGCTGGGCAAGGGGTCTCCGGCTGCCATCCACACGGACCCTTCGGTCCAGGTTGAAGAGGGCCCGCCGCCCCCTTCCTGCACCCCTCTTGGAGAAAGGTCTAAATCAGCCTCCCCCCCCCCCGTTCCAGGTGTGTTGGCACCACAATCCCCAGAAGGCCCCTGGTGCGTCCCCAGGGCGTCGGAGGGTGCCTCCTTGGGGAAGCGTCCTGGGTGCCTCGCAGGGGCTCCGGGCTTTGGGTCCTCCTCCCCTAACCTCCCTCCCTCCTTTCTCTCCTCTCCCCCCGCAGACCCGCAGCTGAAGGGCATCATCACCAAGCTCTTCTGCCGCCACGGCTTCTACCTGCAGGCGCACCCGGACGGCAGCCTGGAGGGCACGCGGGAGGACGGCAGCGGCTTCAGTAAGCGCCCCCGGGGGGGGGCCTCTGCTCCCCTCCCCCGCTTCTTTCCTGCCTAGGGGCGGGCGGGGGGACCCCCTCCCCGGCCTTTGCCCCTGCCCCAGAGCTCTGGGCCGGAGGGGGTGGGGAGCAGCGGGGGTGGGAAGGAGGGGTTGGACTAGAAGACCTCTTGAGGTCCCTTCCAGCTCTGTCGTTCTGCTTCCACGCCCCGCTCTGGCCTCGGAGCCCCGCAGCTGGCACCTCCAGCCCTACTCTGAAGCCGCCGCCCCCCCCCTTTTCTGGGCTGCAGCTTTCTGGGTCCCTCCTCGCCTCCCCCCCCCATCACCCCCCCACCCCGTTCTAGCCGCGGCCGGCTTCTCTCCTGCAGCGGGAGGGGGGGGAGGAAAAGAGGCCACGCAGTGATGGATGGCGCGCCCATCCCGTCTGGCAGGCCGGTGTCTGTCCGGGAACGTGGCCCGTTTCTTCCGCCACCCCCCCCCCCCGTCGCAGCTGGTTGGCGGCCCCGTCTAACAGCCATCAGCGGTTCTCCCCCGGGAGTGAAGGTGGCGCCGGGGCTATAAAGCGCACCGGCTGGGCCTCCACACCTGCCCCCCCCCCGTCTCTCTCCCGCCCCGAACCTCTGGGTTGCAAACATCCAATAGAATAGAAATAATAAAATACAGAATAGAATGGAATGGAATGGAATGGAATAATAAAATATAGAATAGAATAATAAAAAATAGAATAGAATAGAATAATAAAATTAGAATAGAATAGAATAAGAATAGAATAATAAAATATAGAATAGAATAATAAAAAATAGAATAGAATAATAAAATTAGAATAGAATAGAGCAGAACAGAATAGAAAATGGAATAGAAAATAGAACAGAATATAGAATGGAATGGAATGGAATAGACTAGAAAATGGAATAGAATAGAAAATACAGAATAGAATAGAATAGAATAGAATAGAATAGAATAGAATAGAATAGAATAGAATAGAATAGAATAGAATAGAATAGAAATTAGAATATAACAGAACAGAACAGAACAGAATAGAATAGAATAATAAAATTAGACTAGAATAGAATAGAATAGAATAGAATATAGAATAGAAATAGAAATAGAATAGAATAGAACAGAATATAGAATATAATAGAAATAGAATAGAATAGAACAGAATATAGAATATAATAGAAATAGAATAGAATATAGAATATAGAATAGAATAGAATAGAATAGAATAGAATAGAATAGAATAGAATAGAATAGAATAGAATAGAATAGAATAGGAATAGAAGCTGGAAGGGACCTTGGAGGTCTTCTAGTCCATGGTTGTAACTCCAAACAGTCACTAAACAAACAGTTGTAAGACGAGGACTGAGCCTGTCACCCCCCCCCCCCCCAAAATTTGGGCTCTTTGGCAGAGACCCCCCTCCCCAGGCCTTCACGCAAGGGGGTCCTGCCCTGACCTTCCGATTTATTCTCGGCTGCTACGCCTTTTAAGGGTAGCATTTTAATTTTAATTTTTTAATTTTGTCCCTTGAGGGAGATGGGGGTGGTCATCTCAATTAAATTAAATTAACTTGCACCTGGTTCTGGGTTCAAATTTAACCACCGGGGGCTCCGACCTGGGCTGGGCTTCCAGTTGCTGACCAGCGGTCAGTAGCCGAGGTGCTGGCCTCCTCTGACTCCCCCCCCCCCGGAGCCAACTCTCCCCCCCTCCGCTTGCTCCTGGGATACTTTATTGCCTGCCTCGTATCTGAAGACCCCTCCCCTCCTTTCCTTGCCCCACAGCGTTTTTCAACCTGATCCCTGTGGGGCTCCGGGTGGTGGCCATACAGAGCACGACGTCTGGACAATACGTCGGCATGAACGCCGAGGGATTCCTCTACAGCTCCGTGAGTAGGCCGCCGGCCCCACGTGGTCAATTTGGGGGAGCAACGGGGTTGGGGGGTTCACTTTGGGGATGTGCAACACGGGTTCCGTAGTCCTCAGAACGGGCCGCTTTGTCTTTGGCCCTCCTTTCCCCATCTGGATCGCTCCCGCCTTCTCACCCCCTGTGTCTCTCCAAAGTTGGCCCCTTGGAGACCCCTGGACTTCAACTCCCAGAAGTCCCCATGGCTAGGACGAGAACAAAGGTGGCTAGATTACTTGGATAAGGTTAATTTTTTGGATCAGGTGAACTTGAACTTCTTTAAGAGACGGTGGGAATGCAGCCTTAAAGTGGATGAGGAATTCTGGGGGTTGAAGTCCACCAGCTTTAAAGTGGATGAGGAATCCTGGGAGTTGAAGTCCACCAGCCTTAATGTGACTGAGGAATTCTGGGAGTTTAAGCATCAATCTTAAAGTGGCTGAGGAATTCTGGGAGTTGAAGTCCACCAGCCTTAAAGCGGCTGAGGAATTCTGGGAGTTGAAGTCCACCAGCCTTAAAGCGGCTGAGGAATTCTGGGAGTTGAAGTCCACCAGCCTTAAAGCGGCTGAGGAATTCTGGGAGTTGAAGTCCACCAGCCTTAAAGTGGCTGAGGAGTTCTGGGAGTTGAAGTCCACCAGTTTTAAAGTGGATGAGGAATTCTGGGAGTTGAAGTCCACCAGCCTTAAAGTGGCTGAGGAATTCTGGGAGTTGAAGTCCACCAGCCTTAAACTGGCTGGGGAATTCTGGGGTTGAAGTCCACAGGTCTTCACGTTTCCAAGGTTGACAAAGATTGCTGTGGAATTTAAGCTGAAAGAAGATTTGGGCACAGGCAATGGTCTCACACACACACACATACGCACCACCCCCATTAACTCCTTTTTGTGGCACCGTTTACTGGCTCCAAAGACCCTTGGACCCCCCTCAATTGCAAGGGACCCAGCAGGTCCAAATGAAGGACACCCACAAATTGGGGGTCGCAGCCAGGCACTTCTTAACAACCCCACACCACCACCACAGTTCTACAAGATGGCGGGTGAACTTTACACGCCTCATCCCGCACTTACGACCATTTGTTCAGGGACCGAAGTTATGATGGTGCTGGAAAAAAAGTGAATTATCACCATTTCTCACATTTACGACCATCGCAGTGACGGGATCGTAACTCAGACGCTTGGCCACTGACTCGTATTTACGACGGTCGCAAGTGTCCCTGGGGTCAAGAAAAGACAAGCAGAGTTCGCTTAACGACCGTGTGACTGCCTTCACGGCGGTTCCCTTCGCAGCCCTGGTGAGAAAAACTATGCGTCGTAAAACGGGGTGAAGCTCACTCCGCTGTCTCGCTTAGCAACGAAAATCAGGTGGCTCAACTGTGGTCGTAAATCAAGGGCTGCCTCTATTTCTTACATTCCTCCGTGTGTTTGATTCCTCCTTCTGTTCTTCATTCGCGGATCCAGGACAGTTGATCTTTTAATGACGATTCCAGAGGTTGGGAGATATTTGGCAGGGGGACATTCCTGCAACCCCCCCCCCAAAAAGCAGCAGAGATGGGGGGGGTGAAGGAAAAAAATGATGTTTTGTGCTGACACATTTTGCTCTGATTAATGTTTTGGCTTCCTGGCTTCCTTCCATCTCTCCATTCTCTGGAGGCAAAAGAGTCCAGCTGGATTATCGGGGTGACGGTTAGCGAGGGTTGAGCATCGCCATCTGGCGGACGATCCCTGCTATTAACCCCCCCCCCCCAATTTGGCCTAAATCTGGGCAGGCAGATGGGGGGGGAGGAGAGGAGGTTGGTATGGAAAATCTTGTTTGAAGACGAAGGAAATGGAGGAATTTAGAGAGATTAGCAGCGGTAGGAACACGGATTTGCCTTTAATCCTTTCGTAAAATAATAATAATAATAAATGATAAGTAATTAATAAATAATTAATAAATAATTAATAATTATTAATTACAGACAAGCACCTGCAACATAACACCCCGGACTTAACAATTGTCGATAAGAAAGACAAAAAAGTCTGGATAGTGGACGTGGCAGTGCCTGGAGACAGCAGAATAGACGAGAAAGAACTGGAGAAGATAACAAAATACAAAGACCTACAAATAGAAATAGAAAGACTGTGGCAAAAGCAAGCAAGGGTAGTACCAATAGTAATAGGCTCCTTGGGTGCAATCCCAAAACAAATGGAGCACCACTTGAACACCATTGGCATTGACAAATTCGCTATTAGTCAATTGCAAAAGGCGGTCTTATTAGGAACTGCTTCCATCCTGCGACGATATCTGTAATACCATCAAACATCCACATCTGCCTATCCCAGGTCCTGGGTAAGGACTCGATAGGTAGACAAAATGCCAAATCCAGTCTGAACATCTGGCTGACTGTGGGATGATCCATAATAATAATAATAATAATAATAATAATAATAATAATAATAATAATAATAGTAATAGGCTCCTTGGGTGCAATCCCAAAACAACTGGAGCACCAGTTGAACACCATTGGCATTGACAAATTCGCTATTAGTCCATTGCAAAAGGCAGCCTTATTAGGAACTGCTTCCATCCTGCGACGATACCTGTAATACCATCAAACATCCACGTCTGCCTATCCCAGGTCCTGGGTAAGGACTCAATAGGTAGACAAAATGCCAAATCCAGTCCGAACATCTGGCTGACTGTGCGATGATCCATAATAATAATAATAATAAAAATTGGTCTCCCCAATCCAGTCGGCCATCGTGGAAAGGAAAAGACTTTAAAGATGGCGTGCCTGTTTTATAAAAAGGTGGATTATTTTTAGAATTATTTTTAGAATTGTTATTACTATATGATATTGTTAAATGGGACTACATCCGCACGAAGTAAGCAGTGGGGTACCACAAGGCTCCGTCTTAGGCCCAGTAAACTCTTCAATATCTTCATCAATGACTTAGACCAGGGGTAGGCAACCTTGGTTCTTCTATGACTGGTGGACTTCAACTCCCAGAATTCCTGAGCCAGCCACGCTGAGGGGAAAGGGAGAGGCTTCCAAGCTGAGCCAGGCTGGCTCAGGAATTCTGGGAGTTGAAGTCCACGAGTCATGAAGGGGCCATAGTTCCCCCATGTTGGCTGAGGAATTCTGGGAGTTGAAGTCCACGAGTTATAAAAGAGCCAAGGTTGCCTACCCCTGAACGAGTTGTTCTGTCTCCCAAAGACGATACGAAGTGAATCTCCGAGAATTTTGACGAGTCCCTCAAGCAGACTCAGGTTTGGTTTCAGGACCTGACCCCGTGTGGGTTCACACAACATGTTAAACCCTACACTTGGCTTGCCAAAGCAGAAATCATGGTATGTTTGTTTCAGAGGCACTGAATCAGGCCAGGGATAAATCGTATTTCATTCTTTTATAAAATGACTAAAGGAATAGACGAGCGAAATGCTGTGGACGTAGTATATTTAGATTTCAGTAAGGCATTTGACAACGTAGACCACAATCTACTCCTTGGTAAGCTAGAAAAAGGTGGGATAGACAACATCATCACCAGATGGATCTGTAGCTGGCTGGCAAACCATACTCAACGCGTAGTCCTCAATGGCCCTACATCCGCACGGAGGGAAGTAAGCAGTGGGTACTACAAGGACCCATCTTAGGCTGAGTAAACTCTCCAATATCTTCATCAATGACTCAGACGAGGGAATTGAAGGGGAACTTGTCAAATTTGCAGGTGACACCAAACTGGCAGGAGTAGCCAACACCCCAGAAGACAAACTCAGGACCCCAAAAGGTCTGGACAGACTTGAACAAGGGGCCCCGTCCAACAAAATGAGTTTCAGGATGGAGAAAAGCACAGTTTGACACCCAGGCAGGAAAAATCAAAGGTACAAGCACAGATTAGGCCAGACCTGGCTTAAAAACAGCAACGGTGAGAGGATGAGCACTTGACCTTGAGCCAGGTGTGGGCAGCAGCAGCCAAAAAAGCTAATACAGTTCTGGGTTGTATAAACAGAGGCAGAGAATCAAGATCATGCAAAATTAGTACCGCTTTATAAAGCCCTAGGGAGGCCACACCCGGAATACTGCAGCCAATTTTGATCACCATATCACAAAAAAGATGTTGAGAGTTTGGAAAAAGTGCAGAGAAGAGCAACAGAGATGATCCAAGGCCTGGAGACTAAAATATACGAAGAACGGCTGCGGGACATGGGTCTGGCCGGTCTAAAGAAAAGACGAAATAGGGGAGACAGGATAGCAGTGATCCAGTATCTGAGGGGCTGCCCCAAAGAAGAGGAGGGGGTCACGTTATTCCCCAAAGCACCAGAGGGAAGGAGGAGAAACAATGGTTGGAAACTGGCCAAAGAGGGAAGCAACCTGGAATTAAGGAGAAACTTCCTGACAATTAACCAGTGGAACAACTTGCCACCAGAAATCGTGGGCGCTCCATCACTGGAGATTTTTAAGAAAAGGCTAGACAGTCACTTGCCTGAGATGGTGTAGGTTCTCCTGCTTGAGCAGGGGGCTGGACTAGAAGATCTCCAAGGTCCCTTCCAATGGTATAGGCAGGAAACCCTAGACCATTTCAGACAATAATAATAACAACAACAATAATAACAATAACAACAACAATAATAATAAAGTTGGAAGGGACCTTGGAGGTCATCTAGTCCAACCCCTTGCTCAGGCAGGAAACCCTAGACCATTTCAGACATTTCAGCTTGTCAGGAGATCACAAAAAGGACACTGCAACCATCATAAATACGAGTCAGGTGCCAAGCATCTGAAATTCGATCACGGCTGTAAGTGTGAAAAAAAAATGGTCATCAGTCACTTTTCTGGGGTAACTTTGAGCTGTCCCTCAGTGAATTGTTGTAAGCTAAGGACTACCTGTAAATCGAACTTTTTTTAAAAAAAAAAAAAAGCGCAACCCAGTCAGAGGGATTTCAGAGGGACACCCCCCCCCCAGAATGAAGGGTTTGAACCTCCAAATTTTGTCCTATGTTGTTTCTTTTCTCACCCATCACATCCTTGTTCGTTCGGAGCACCTGGTCAGGCGCAAACAGCCGGACTTACAAGGGCAGAGTTCAAAGTAGCTACTTTATTGTTTTCTGCCTGTACTACAGGAATCTTCCCAGGCTGGCAGATTCGCCTGGGAAAGGCTAGATCAGGCTCAAAGTCAGCCCCTGGCTGAGGAATTCTGGGAGTTGAAGTCCATGAGTCTTAAAGTGGCCGAGTTGGAAGACCTCTGCTCAAAGTCATTGGAAGGGAGTCAGACCAAATCCTCTGCTCTTTTCTTATCACAGGGGGTGGGGAACGACGGCCCCTTTGTGACTGGTGGCCTTCAATTCCCAGAATTCCCGAGCCAGTTCAGGAATTCTGGGAGTTGAAGTCCACCAGTCGTAAAGGGGCCGTCGTTCCCCATCTCTGACTTACCACGTCAAACCTTAACTCTCCGTTTGATCCCTTCTGCCGATTGGGGGGCAGTAGCGTAGCCGGGCCCTTTATTAAGGGGAGGGGGCTTCTCTTCCTTCGGGGCCTAACTTTCCCCCTGCCCCCAGGCTCACTTCACCGCCGAGTGCCGTTTTAAGGAGTGCGTCTTTGAGAACTACTACGTCACCTACTCCTCCACCTTGTACCGCCAGAGGGAGTCCGGCCGTTCGTGGTACCTGGGCATCAACAGGGACGGGCAAGTGATGAAGGGAAACCGAGTCAAGAAGACCAAGGCCTCAGCCCACTTCCTCCCCAAACTGCTGGAAGGTGGGTGAGGGGCCTTGGGGAGTTGGGCAGATCATCCCTTGGACACTTGACCAAGCCTCAGTCCGGAGGGTTGCTGGGGGGGGGGGGTTAGGGTTGGGGGCAAGGAGGCTCCAGAGACAGCCTTATTTTAATAAATGAAAGAAAGGCCGGTTTTCTTGATCGGCTGCTGGTTGTTGATTGGCGCTTTAATTGATCTTCCTTCCTTCCTTTCTTCCATCCATCCATCCTTATTCCCTTCCTTCCTTTTTATTTCTTTCTTTCTTTCTTCCCTCCTTCCTTTTATCTCCTTTCTCTTTCTTTCTTTCCTTTCTTCCTTCTTTCCTTCCTTTTATCTCCTTTCCTTTCTTTTTGTTTCTTTTCTTTTTGTCTTTTTCTTTCCTTCCCATCCATCCTTACTCCCTTCCTTCCTTCCTTTTTGATTCTTTCTTTCTTCCCTCCTTCCTTTTATCTCCTTTCTTTCTTTCTTTCTTTCCTTTCTTCCTTCCCTCCTTCCTTTTATCTCCTTTCCTTTACCTTTCTTTCTTTCTTTCTTTTTCTTTTTGTTTCTTTCCTTTTTGTCTTTCTTTTTCTTTCCTTCCTTCCTTTCTTCCTTTTTCTTTTGTCTCCTTTCCTTTTTCTTTCTTTTGCTTTCTTTCTTTCTTTCTTTCATTCCTTCTTTCTTTTTCTTTTCTTTTCTTTCCTTTTTTCTTGACTTTCTTTCTTTCCTTCCTTTTTTGACTTTCCTTCCTTCCATCCTTTTTCTCTTGTCTTCTTTCCTTTCCCCTTCCTTCTCTTTCTTTCTTTCCTTTTTTCTTCTTCCTTCCTTCCTTCCTTTTGTCTCCTTTCCTTCCTTTCCTTTCTTTCTCTTTCTTTCTTTCTTTCTTTCTTTCTTTCTTTCTTTTTTATTTTTTTTCTTTCTCTTTCTTTCTTTCATTCCTTCTTTCTTTTTCTTTTCTTTCCTTTTTTCTTGACTTTTTTTCTTTCCTTCCTTTTTTGACTTTCCTTCCTTCCATCCTTTTTCTCTTGTCTTCTTTCCTTTCCCCTTCCTTCTCTTTCTTTCTTTCTTTCTTTCCTTTTTTCTTCTTCCTTCCTTCCTTCCTTCCTTCCTTTTGTCTCCTTTCCTTCCTTCCCTTTCTTCCTTCCCTTTCTTCCTTTTCTTTCTTTCTTTCTTTCTTTCTTTCTTTCTTTCTTTCTTTCTTTCTTTCTTTCTTTCTTTCTTTCTTTCTCCCTTATCTCTCCACAGTGGCTTTGTATCGTGAGCCTTCCCTGCACAACCTCTTCGAGCAGGCCCTGGCCAAGAAAGCCGAGGAGGGCGACGGGCCACCCCGGAAAGAACCCGCAGCCACGTAGTCCTGACGATCGGGTGGGGGCTGCCTCTCCTCCTCCACCCCCATGGCCCCCCTCGTCAGCCCCTCTCAACCGCCACCACCTCCAGAACACCCCTTCACGGGTCCTCAGGATGGCTCCCCACCTGATCAGCCTCTGGGATTCCCAACTTGCAAGGGATCTGCTGAGGAGGAGATCTGCTGACGGGGGGCGGGGAGGATTTTCCATTCTGGGGCAAAAAGAGACGGAGGGACGAACCACCAGGCTGTCCTGTCTCAAGCTAGGGGGCCACAATGGGGCCCGGCTCTTTGGGGGACCCTGTCTGTCCCTGCAAGGGGCTGACGCAGCCTTGTCCCTCACCCCGGCAGACCCACCGCGGCTAACCGGCCTCTCCTGGCGCCTGTCCTGACCATGGCCAGAGTGGATCCCGTCTTCCGGGCAAAGGAGACCAGGGCTTTATGGTGCTTCGCTCCCTGGGTCTGGCAACGCAGCTTCCAAAAGCATCGCCAGAAGCAAAGAACGGAGAAAAGGAAAAGATATATTCACTTTTTCTAATTCTCCCCCAAAAAAGAAGCCAGGCCAAAGCCTACGACAGAACAATCTTCTGTTTCTCGGAGGTGGTTTTTTTTTTTTTCCTTTTTCCCCTTGTTTTTTAAATCCATGCTCTGTTCAGCCCCGGGTGGGTGACCTTGTCTTCAATCAAGAGACTGCCAACTTTATCTACGGTTTCAGGCCTGACCTCGGCCACACTGGATTTGACAGCCGAACGGAGAGCAGAGAGAAGCAGCAAGGGAGGCTTCCAATCAGCTCAGGGAGCTGGGGGGGGGGTCCTTTCCTAGCTGGAGACCCCCCCCAGACAGCAGGTCACCTTTCCCCCTTGTCCGCCTGCTGTTCTAACGGTGCAGTTTGAATCGGGGGCGGGAGGGGGGAAGGAATTATTTTTTTTCTTCCCCCCCCCCCGAAGAAAACTCTCCTTGCCAATCCTGCTGTCCTCTCTGCAAATTTGACACCGTGCCAATCAAAGACCTTGGAGTCCAAAAGGGTGACTTTGGGGGGGGGGAGTCAAAATCGGAGGAGCTGGATTGCCCCCCCCTTCTTCTTCTACGGGCAGAAAAGTCCAAACTGGGGACCGAAGCTCCTTTTGCCTGCCGGAGACTTGTAGCCGCCCCCTCCCCCCCCGATCTTCCCCCCCTCCCCAAATTGTGCCACGGTGCTCTTGGCCACCAGGCGGCAGCACGCCTCTCCGGCGCATCCCGGTCCTTGGAGCGAGAGAGACCCGGAGAAGTGCAGTACCTCATTTGGCCACTGGGTGGCAGCACTCTCGCCCCGGCGCAGGGCTGCGGGGAATCGCTCGCTTGCCATCGCGCGGGCACCGGGGGGGGGGAGGGAGTGGGGGGGGCGGGGGTCTCTTCTAAGGGTCTTCACCTGCCTCCCCACCCACCATCTCTGATCTGTCTCTTTGCCCATCTCTCAGGAGCCTGAAGTCACCTATTCCTTTCTTTGCAGGCAATAAATGAGGGGTGGGGGTGGGGGTGGGAGATTGCAGTCGTGGGCAGGGGCGGGGCGGATTGCTGCTTGTGGGGTGGGGTCCCTCGAGCCTGTGGATCAGCGTGGGGCAGGGGCGGCTTCCTAACCTCTTGCCTTGTGCCTGTGTGTGTGATCCAAAAGCGCGGGGGGGGGGGGGCTGGAGAAGACCTCCACGATCCCTTCCAGGTCTACTCTAGTCTATCTGAAATAGCAACGTGATGGATCGGCTCCCTCCAGACAAGACCCCCCCCCCCGGACCCCTCCAACTCTCCGAAGCAAACCAAGCTCCCTAATACACTACCCATACTCCCCAGCCCTTCTTCCAGGTGGTTAAGCGCTCTGTCTCCACCCAATCCTGTAGGGTAAGGGGCCTCTAACCTTGGCAACTTTTAAGACTTGTGGACTTCAACTCCCAGAATTCCCCAGCCAGCATACTCCTTGTGGCCCTGCTTACTCTCTTATAATCCCTTCCTCTCCAATCTCTCTGCTTTAAGGGATAGTTGGGGAAAAAAACAGGCACGGCTGGCTGGGGAATTCTGGGAGTTGAAGTCCACCAGTCTTAAAGGGGCCAAAGTTGGAGACCTGTGCTGTAGGGAGAGGAATCCGCCCACTCCCTCATTCTTGACCTCCCCAGGACCCCACGACCTTGAACACCTCCTCTGCTCCATTTCAAAAAGAGCCAAAACTACAGGGTAGTCCTCAACTTATCACCACATTGAAGCCTTTGCTAAGGGAGATAGGTGTTGAGTTTTGCTGCAGTTTCATGACCCATCTAGGGAACCTCAGCAGTGCTGGAAGAGAAAGGAGTTTGGGGAAAGGAGGAGGGGGAGGAAGAAGAAGAAGAAGAAGAAGAAGAAGAAGAAGAAGAAGAAGAAGAAGAAGAAGAAGAAGAAGAAGAAGAAGAAGAAGAAGAAGAAGAAGAAGAAGAAGAAGAAGAAGAAGAAGAAGAAGAAGAAGAAGAAGAAGAAGAAGAAGAAGAAGAAGAAGAAGAAGAAGAAGAAGAAGAAGAAGAAGAAGAAGTAGTAGTAGTAGTAGTAGTAGTATGTGGGGTCCTTGGTGCTCTCTGAACTTGGAAGGGTTTTTTTTGTAGACCAACGAGGGAACATCAGCAGCCCTGAGTACTGGCTGAGGAATTCTGGGAATTGAAGTCCACAAGTCTTAAAGTTGCCAAGTTTGAAGACCCCTATTCTCCGATGCTCCCTTGGGTGGGCAATTCAGAGAGTTTCCCCCCTCCCTCAATTAGAGGTACAGACCCTCAAATCTGCTGCTGTGTGATTATTTGGGTGGCTTTAAGTGATTATTTCAAGAAGACGAGAGTCTTCTGCGCCTGAATTAGGAATTACGAATTTTTGAGTTGGCTGGGGAATTCTGGGAGTTGAAGTCCACCAGTCTTAAAAGTGGACCACGGTTCTATGGATATTTCCGAGCACTATCCTTAATAAGTGTCATGAAAACCGTAAAGGCAGGACCCCGTTCCTTGGAAAAGCCAGGTGGGGGCTTGGATGCCGCTGCGCTCCGGAATGCATCAGGCGCAATTCAGGCGCAATTCAGGGAAAATACACCTGCGCGGCCCAAGAGCCGAGGTTTGACAAGCCGGGCCGGAGAGGCGGGGCTTGGTCTCCTTAGCTCCGCCCCTGGCCCCGCCTCACCTCCTCCCCGCCTTGTCCCCTTCCCCTCGACCCCCCCCCACTGAAAAGCAATAATAATATTAATAATCATCATAATCTTCATTAATATTCGCAATAATTGCGGGAACGCGCCTTCGGTCCTGCATGAAAAATTGGCTTCCGTCCAGCCGTTCTCCCCAATCCCTGGCGCGAAGGATCGGGCCGCCCCCCCCCGTCCTCCCCCCCTTTGGCACCCTAAAATAAAGGATACTTTCTACAGTTTTTTTTCTCTTTTTTGAGCACTTGGTCTTTTGAGGGGTGTGGGGGGGGGTTGCGGGGCTTCAGAAATGCGCGCGCTTCCGACCCAGAAATTGTCTGACTATTATCCAGCGGAACGACTTGCCACCAGACTGCCACCCGAAGTTCTGGCTGCTCCAACCCCTGGAGGTCCGGAATGGTGTGTGTGTGTGTGTGTGTTTTGTATGTGTGTGTGTGTAAGATCTCCGGGTTGGACTAGATGACCTCGAAGGTCCCTTCCGACGCTTCTTAGACTTGTTCTCTCGACCCAAGTTTCCCCGTTCTTGTTGGTCCGGGGATTTCGGACGTGTGAATTAAGCACCCACCGGCTTCATGGGATACAAAACGGGGGGAGTTTGGGGGTACTGCTGCCCCCCACCCCACCCCCTAACTAGCCGGTGGGGCGGTGATGGGAACGCTAAGCCGAGATATCTGCTGGAGGGCTTAGCTGAGCACGGCAGGACAGGAGCCTCGCCCCCCCCCCGATTTCCACCCGATCCTAAATTGGGTCGGTCTGGTTTGAACCCAGATAGATGTTCTGCAGTCCGGCTTGGGGGGGGGGCGGAGCGGCAGCGGGACCCTCCGATGGGGCTCAGCCTGTTCTTGTTCCCCTGGAAGGGTGTGGGGGGGGTCATTCTCTTGAGTTTCCCTTCCCTACTCTGCGCACCCCGGGGGGAGGGTCTGGCCCTGGACGCCCCCCGCCCCGCGGCTGCAACCGGAGAGGCTCCGGCCGTCTTTGGCTGCCCGTCCTGGGACAGCTGGCCGGGCGGAAATGCCTTCGACAACTGGGTAATCCCCCCACCCCAACCCGGGAATTCGACCCGACCCTTCCCCGGCATTTCTGGAGCGGCGTCTCTGAGGCCAGCGGGGAGCTCTCGGATCTGCGGGCGAGGGGACGCCATGCTCGTGGGGGTGGTCCTTGGGGGGCTCCTCTGGACGCTGGCCCTCTCAGGTAGGCCTCGGAGGGGGGGCTGAGAGCCGGGGGACCCCCCCCCCACGTATTTCAACTCAAGTTTCCCCCTAGATTGTGCAAGGCTGGGTCTGTCCGCCTGCAGGGCGCTTGCGGGGCGCAGCAAGAACAGCCCGTCTCCCCACCTCCTCTCTTCCCCCCCCCTCAGAACCCCCCCTCTTCTCTCCCCTCTCCAGCCGGGGGGTTTTTCGAAGTCGAGGGGCGCCTGAAAGCGCGGCTCCTCCGGAACTACTCCGCTACGGTCCTGCCGATCCGCCGCCTCTCCCACAAGGTCCCGGTGAGAGTGGGCATGTCCCTCTCGCAGCTGATCAGCTTAGTAAGTGGGGAGGGGGGTGGCAGGGCGGCACCGGGGGGGGAGAGGGGGGAAAGACCCGGACTTTACCCACCCCAAGCCCCCGACTCGCTTCGCCACCGGCCTCGCTGCGAAGCCACCGAGAATGCAAAACACAGAATAGCTGGGCTGGAAGGCGATCGTGCAGATCTTCTCCTCCGACCCCCCCTGCTCAAGCAGGAGATCCTGTACCATTCCCGACAAAGGGCTCTCTTTGGATGGTTCAGCAGCCTCTGGAGGACCCCTGGCTCCTACCCTGCCACTCCAAACGTGGCCAATAGGGATGGGGCTGGGGAGGATGGGGCGTGGAGGGCCATGGGCTCTTTCTCCTGAGGATATGTGTGGGGGAGTCTCTTGGGTACACAGCCAGGCTTCCCTGTCCCCTTTTGGGGTGTGAGTCACGGGCCGAGCCTCCCCCAAATATGTAAGACATATGTTGGGGGCGTGGCCGTGGGGGGGGGCTTCGGCCGTTGAGGTTACACACCTGATGCCGGCGGTTGAAGAGGCCAACGGAAGCTGCAACAGCTGAGATGGCGGCTATTAATAACTCATCGTCCACTGCCCAGCTTGCCTGGAGCTGGCGTTCCCTCGCACCTGGTGGGAATTGGGGCGTTTTAGGAACTGTGGGACAGTCAGAGGGCTTCTCCCCCTGGTCTCTGGGAAGGGGAAAGGACAGGATACCAGCTGAGCCAGCCCCAGCCCCTCACTTTGAGGATGGGGAGGGCTGTGATCCAGTCCCAAGCATCTCTGTGTCCATTTGCTGGATCGGCCGGTCTTGCTTACTGACCATCGGAAAGATGGGAGCCCGTTCTGGCCAAGGATTGAAGCACAAAGCTAAAAACCAGGAGTCGGTGAGTTCTAGTCCTGCCTTAGCCATGAAAGGCGACTAGGTGACTTTGAGTTCTAGTCCTGCCTTAAGCATGAAAGCCGACTAGATGACTTTGAGCTCATCACCAGGAGATGGAGAGTTCTAGTCCTGCCTTGGCCATGGAAGCCGACTAGGTGACTATGGGCCAATCCCCAGGAGATGGGGAGTTCTAGTCCTGCCTTAAGCATGAAAGCTGACTAGGTGACTATGGGCCAATCCCCGGGAGACGGGGAGTTCTAGTCCTGCCTTAAGCATGAAAGCTGACTAGGTGACTTTGAGCCAATCACCAGGATACGGTGAGTTCTAGTCCTGCCTTAAGCATGAAAGCCGACTAGGTGACTATGGGCCAATCACCAGGAGATGGTGAGTTCTAGTCCTGCCTTAAGCATGAAAGCCAGCTGGGTGATTTGGGGGATAGGATGGAGATGGGGATGGGGATGGGGAGGAGAGGAGAGGAGAGGAAATCTAAATCTCCAGGTCACTTATGTTAGTTGCCATCTTATGCTTACTTGGGGAGGATGGAACGGAAGATGCAAAACTAGGGGAAAATGAAAGTAGCCACTGAATCTCCTGGAGAAGCTGCCTCAAGGTCACCCAGCTGGAAGAAGGAAGGAGCCGCACAGCAAACTGAGCTTGGACTGACCATTACGAAAACATGTCTTCTGGACCTGGTTGGTCGTGTGTGTGTGTGTGTGTGTGTGTGTGTGTGTGTGTGTGTGTGTGTGTGTGGTGTTTGTGTCAGGGATAGGAGGCAGTTAAGGGAGGGAAAAGTTGAACTTAGGGACACTGTGACACTCAGTTCCGGCCTTTCTCAACGAAGGGAGCCAAGGGTTGTTTCTATTTAGAGGTGGCAGGTCGACAACTTAGCAATGGACTTTTGTGCCGAATCCTAGCCTGACCTCCCTGGTCTAAGAAACCAAGAGAGGCAGCAAATGACCCCCCAAAACCCCCCCACCTTCCTTTCGAGTCATTGCAATTTAATTCCCCCCGTCTAACGGAACCGGGAAGAATTAAATCGTGCCTTTTTCAAAGACGGTGGGTTTCAGAATGAATCAAAGCGTTTCCCCAGGGAAAGACCCCAAAGGGTGAGACTACCAAGAAGACACCCCCCTCCCCCCACTTAGCCCGGATCCCTTCCCAAGACTGTGCTATCTGAGGATTCTAGAAGTTTGGAGGGCTCCCCAAGGTCATCTAGTCCACTGGTTCTCAACCTTTTTAATGCCGCGACCCCCAACCGGTCATAAGTCGAGGACTCCTCAACCGGTCGTAAGTCGAGGACTACTCAACTGGTGCAGCACCGTTTGCAGAATGGGGCTTTTGACGGGCTCAGCAGGGCAGAGACAGCCTGGACAATTCCTATTGGCTTTGGAAAGCTAATAGAATTAGACTCTATTCAAGAGAGTCTATTCTATTGGCTTTCAAAAGCCAATAGAATAAAAGGGAGGAGCACAGCTAAGGAAAAGGGGGGAAAAATGGTGGACTGCGTTGTTTGGCGACCCCCGTAAAATGGTCGTTCGACCCCAAATGGGGTCCCGACCCACAGGTTGAGAACCACTGCTCTAGTCAACCCCCCCACTCAATGCTGGGTTCCTGATAAAGGCCTGAGGTCCAGCTTTTGCATGAACCCATCTGCCACTGTGGGGGGCAGCCCCTCCTCCCTCAATCACTGGCTCTTCCTGGGAGGGTGTTTTTCCTTTTTTGGAGTGTTGAAAGTCCTGGCAATATGGAGGCTCTGGAAAGGATCCCAATGGACACCAGGCATCTTTGTCTTCTTTTCAGAATGAGAAGGATGAAGAGCTGACCACAAAGGTCTATATGGACCAGGTGAGTAAAATAAATAAATAAATAAATAGACCGCCATCTTAACCTTTTTGCCCTCCGTGGACAATTGCTGCCTCTGCCACAGTATTAGAAAAGCAAGGATACTTTTCTTGAACTTTCTCATCCACAGAGGATCGAACAGGAGGGGAAATTTGAAGGTGGAGTAGAAGGAAAAGCAGCTATTTGGGGGGGGGGGAGAGAAAGAGGAAGACGGGTTCAAGGACAGCTGTAGAGAGATTGTGGGGAGGGTCTCTGGGCCCCTAGCAAGTGGGATGTTGTCTATAACAGCCACAAAGCGCAGCGCTCCTGGGCAGTTGACCGCATCAATGTGGCTCCATCTGGGTTGCCAAAAATTGAAGGTATCCAGAGAAACAATATCTGCTCGTTACCTCCTTCCTGAAGTCTGACGCTGTGCCGTATACAGGTAGTCCTCACCTTACATCCACAAGTGAGCCCCAAATTTCTGTTGCTAAGTGACATTTGTGAAGTGAATTTTGATCCATTTTACGACTTTTCTAGCCACAGTTATTAAGTGAATCATTGCAGCTGTTAAGTTAGTAATGTTGTTAAGTGAACTTGGCTTCCCCATTGACCTTGCTTGTCAGAAGGTCACAAAAGGAGATCACATGACCCCGGGGATGCTGTGACGGTCATAAATATGAGTCACTTGCCAAGCGGCCAAGTTTTGATCACGTGACCACGGGGATGCTGCGATGGTCATAAGTGTGAACAATGGTCATAAGTCACTTTTTTCAGTACCAATTTAACTTTGAATGGTCACTAAATGATCTGTGGAAAGTCGAGGACTGTCTGTACCTTATTAACTTACCATTCTTTAACTTACTGGCTGGCCTGTAATTTTTCCTCTTTTCTGCTGGATTATTCCATCATCTTCCTTGCCCGGCTTTCCTTTTCCATCTCAGGAGTGGATTGACTACCGGCTCACCTGGGATCCGGCCGAATTTGAGGGAATCACCTCCATCCGACTTGATGCAGACAAAGTGTGGCTCCCGGATATCGTTCTCATGAACAAGTGAGTCTTCATGAAGACTAGAATCTTGATGCTGGCCTCGTTGATAACTGTTGGGGTGGGACGGGGTGTTGGAGCTGACCGGAGCCTCCCCTTTCCTCTCTGACCTGGCATGGGGGTGTGTGCGGGCGGCAGTGAGGACAGAGGCAAGAGACAGAAAAGAATAACCACCACTGTCAGACCTGCCTCAATTCAGTCCTTTAGGAAAGAAAGACCCTCGACTCCCACTTGGTTAAAGTGAAGGGTTCTTTTACTGAGGATCTTGGCTGCCGTAAAAAAATGACTATAAAATGGCTGCAATACTCCAATGAAGCATTTTAAGTGTCCGTTTTTCTGTAGAAGGTCGAAGCGGTTTCGTGTTTCTGTCCACAACAATGATGGTGTCTTTCTTTTTCCCTCCAGCAACGACGGTGTCTTCGAAATTGCTCTCAGTGTGAACGTCCTCGTGCACCACAATGGGAGGGTCCAGTGGCAGCCCCCGGCCCTTTATCGGAGCAGCTGCAGCATCCAGGTTAGACTCTGCCCCCAGCCGTTGCCTTTTTGCCTACGATGGGGTTTGTAGTTCGGCCTATCATGGGAATAGGTGAGATTAAGGCAGGGGTCCTCAAACTTGGCCCTTTTATGACTTGTGGACTTCAACTCCCAGAATTCCTCAGCCAGGCATACATGCCTGGCTGAAGAATTCTGGGAGTTGAAGTCCACAAGTCATAAAAGGGCCAAGTTTGAAGATCCCTGGATTAAGGGAAGCAGGTTTGTCAGAAAGTTACAAAAGGGGTTTGCTTGACACTGGGACACGGCAACCGTCATAAATATGAATCAGGTGCCAAGGGTCCGAATTTTATTCACATGATTACGGGGATGCTGCAATGGTCATAAGTGTGGAAATTGGTCATAAATCACTCTTTCAGTGCCATTGTAACTTTGAACGGTCACTAAATAAACGGTTGTGAGTCGGGGACTGCCTGTCCTGCATTCTAAACCCTGCGCCACCACGGCTCTTAACAACTTCCTTGCTTAGCAATGGAAATTGCAGTCCCAATGGTCGTCGTAAGTTGAGGACTACTTGTGTTTAATAAAGGAGGATGTGGTTAATGAACTACACCAAGGTGGTATATACGTCCTGGGTTTTTTCTCCTTTTGTTTTGTTTTGTTTTGCATTGCAGGTGACCTACTTCCCGTTCGATTGGCAAAACTGCACAATGGTCTTCCGGTCGTACACATACGATGCCTCGGAAGTCACCCTTCTGCACCCCATCAATGAGAACGGGCAGGAGGTGAAGGAGATCTTAATCTACGAGAACACATTTATTGGTGAGGAAAAAACGCCGATGCGGGGATGGTTGTCAGTTTGCTGTGCAGACTCAAGTACGTGATAAAAATCCATGGTGCTTGGGTATGTCCCACGAACCCCGCACACCAGCTTTGTTCAATTAACCAAGGGAGGGTTTCATGGGAACCCCAGTCTCAGTTCGCAATCAATGCAATTTTTCTTTATTTTCATTCCTTACAATGTCTCTTTCAAAGGATGCGGGTCCAAAGGGACAGTGGGGATGACAATGATGTTATCCATTCAGCCATGTCCATATTCTTGACGATTCTCAGGGCCAGGGGGGTCTCTCCCCATCTCCTGATCTTGCACTGCTTCTTTTGAGTTGTTCTGTGCTCTGGCTCAGAGGTCCCCAACCTTTTGGACACCAGGGACCAGTGCCATGGAGAAAGGATTTTCCGCGGACGAGTGGGGGTGTGGTTTTGCATACTGCCTTCATCCTGCGGAAGGGCTTTGCTTATTTGTGCGGCCCGGTTGCTGGCATGCTGCAGAACAATGACGGTCCACAGACCGGGGGCTGGGGACCCCTGTTCTAGCTGTTGTCAGCTTTGATAGTGATGATTTTCTTGGATGGTCTGGTTTCCTGTTACCACTGACTCCTCCAAACACACAGTGGTTGGTACCTTGGTACTCATCCTTATTGGTTCCGGGCGGCGTGATACGTACCAAAAACAATGAGCAACAAACCAATTTTTCCCATCAGGAATAATGTAGTGAGGCTCAAGGTAGCCGACACCGACAAGTTCTAGCTTTTACGTTGAGTACCAAACAAACGATGAGTAGCGGGACAAACTTTTCACGTCAAAATGCACTAAATTCGATGAATTTCAAAACAGTTGAGTACCGAGGTACCGCTATAAATGCTTTTTCCAGCAAATTCCCCCACACGGTATGGCCAAAACAAGGGAGATGCAGTTTTTGTGATGTTTTGCCTTGCCTGGTGTTACGCACTCCAGTATTTGCTTGTTAGTCACCTTTGCCATCCCAGGGATACAGAGGAGTCTTCTCCAGATCTGCGAGGTCTATTTTAAAAAAAAGGACAGGGTTCAATTTGCACAATTGTGGCTGCCATCTTGTTTTGATCTCCTGGCCTCAAATCAATGTCCATATTGTGTCTTAAGCCATCCTCAAAGAGATCTAGAGTAGGGCGGCCTTCTATCCTGGGTCAAACGAATCCAGGATTTACTCACAGAATCCTCCCTTCTGTGCAGACTATCTCCCCTCCGGAATACTGTATATTCTTGCTTTGACAATATGCAAAACTGTCTGGTATTTACTGGGTTAATACGTAGCTTAAAGTGGGGGGGGGGCTAAAAAGCCGGGGAAAGAAAGAGGAAGTAAACTTTTGATCTTCACACTAATTGGATAATGTGACTGCAAGATAAGGGAGGGGTTTAGCAAGAAAAGTTTGATGCCAGCAAGAGGAAGTCAGATTCTGGCATCAAAACGTCCATGATGGTGACCGGCAATTTGTAGCTCTGTAATAAAGACTTTAGGAAACATGCCTGAAAGTTCTTTGAAGTGCTTCATTAGTCGGAACCTCTGACACCTGGCTTTGCCCAGATCCGTCTCTCGGGGCTCTTCCTCAATCTACTCAAAGAACAAGGGGGCTTGTCAGCCTAGAGCGAACCTCCCCACCCCACTGGAGAAGACGTAAGTGTGGGGTCGGGGGGCTTTCCTTTCAGATGTCCTCCCTCCTTTCTTTCCCCAGACAACGGGCAGTGGGAGATCCAGCACAAACCGTCCCGCAAAAACACTCATCTGGACGATCCGCTTTACGAGGATATCACCTTCTACCTGATCATCCGTCGCAAACCGCTTTTCTACCTCATCAACGTCATCATTCCTTGTATCTTGATCACCATCCTGGCCATCTTCGTGTTTTATCTCCCGCCGGACGCTGGTGAGCCGGCCGCGAGGGAGCTTGGGTGTCTTTCGTGGCAGCGCACAGCAGTTAGGGCTAGGATAAGAATTACACTATTATCAAAGGAATGATGGAATAGAATATTCTGTTCTGTTCTGTTCTTCATTCCTCTATTCTATTCTGTTCTGTTCTGTTCTGTATTCTATATTCTCTATTCCGGTGATGGCGAAACTTTTAGAGTCTGAGTGCCCAACCCCCCTTCCCCACCTGCTCCACCCCGCCCCACCTGCCGGGCCACCCACCCCCTCCACAGTCCACCGCAGATCGCTCAGGCAGCCCTGCAGCGCCATGGTGGACACGCCCTCCATCCGCGCCCCACAACATCATCTGCGTGTGACTTGTCCCTGCTGCCCAGCTGCCATGTGCTTGGGTGCGCTGCTCCGCGCCCGGGGATGACTATCCTCTGGGGGGGGGGCTGCTGAGGGGGTGGCAGGACTGGGGCGATGGCGCACGTGCCCACAGAGAGGGCTCTGAGTGCCGCCTCTGGCATGCATGCCATAGGTTTGCCACCACTGCTCCTATTCTATTCTATTCTATTCTATTCTATTCTATTCTATTCTATTCTATTCTATTCTATTCTATTCTATTCTAATTTCTATTCTAATTTCTATTCTTCATATTTCTGTTCTATTCCATTCTATTCTTCATTCCTATATTTATTCTATTCTATTCTATTCTATTCTATTCTATTCTATTCTAATTTCTATTCTAATTTCTATTCTTCATATTTCTGTTCTATTCCATTCTATTCTTCATTCCTATATTTATTCTATTCTATTCTATTCTATTCTATTCTATTCTGTTCTAATTTCTATTCTAATTTCTATTCTTCATATTTCTGTTCTATTCCATTCTATTCTTCATTCCTATATTTCTATTCTATTCTATTCTATTCTATTCTATTCTATTCTATTCTAATTTCTATTCTAATTTCTATTCTTCATATTTCTGTTCTATTCCATTCTATTCTTCATTCCTATATTTATTCTATTCTATTCTATTCTATTCTATTCTATTCTATTCTAATTTCTATTCTAATTTCTATTCTTCATATTTCTGTTCTATTCCATTCTATTCTTCATTCCTATATTTATTCTATTCTATTCTATTCTATTCTATTCTATTCTGTTCTAATTTCTATTCTAATTTCTATTCTTCATATTTCTGTTCTATTCCATTCTATTCTTCATTCCTATATTTATTCTATTCTATTCTATTCTATTCTAATTTCTATTCTAATTTCTATTCTATTCTATTCTTCATATTTCTATTCTACTCCATTCTATTCTTCATTCCTATATTTATTCTATTCTATTCTATTCTATTCTATTCTATTCTATTCTATTCTATTCTATTCTATTCTATTCTATTTTATTCTGTATTTTATTATTTGTATTCTGTATTTTATTATTTCTATTCTATTCTATGCTATGCTATTCTATTCTGAATTCTATTTTATTCTATTTTATATTCTATTCTATTATGAATTCTATTCTATTTTATATTCTATTCTATTCTATTATTCTATTCTATGCTATGCTAGGCTATTCTTTCTTCTATTCTATATTCTATTCTACTCTACTGTATTATTATTTCTTATTGTATTCTATTCTATTCTATGCTATGCTATGCTATTCTATTATGAATTCTATTCTATTTTATATTCTATTCTATTTTATATTCTATTCTATTCTATTATTCTATTCTATGCTATGCTATGCGATGGTATTCTTGCTTCTATTCTATATTCTATTCTACTCTATTCTATTATTATTTCTTATTCTAGTCTAGTCTAGTCTAGTCTATATTTTATTCTATACTGTATTTCTATTCTATTCTATTCTCCATTCTCCATTCTCCATTCTCTATTCTATTCTATATCCTAGTGAGGTCAGAGTGGGTCACCTCCTGTGATTTGAACCCAGGACTTCCCCTGCAGTGTGGAAGCTGTTCTCCTGCAAGGGGAGTTCAGTGCAAGGCCATTTTTTACCGCCTGCGCCGTCCTCTGGGGCAGCTCCAGGCTGAGCTGCGCCTGCCTGACTTCTCTTTCTCCTTGGACCAGGTGAGAAGATGACACTCTCCATCTTCGCCCTCCTCACCCTCACCGTCTTCTTGCTGCTGTTGGCCAAGAAGGTCCCCGAGACGTCCCTGGCGGTGCCCATCATCATCAAGTACCTGATGTTCACCATGATCTTGGTCACTTTCTCCGTCATCCTCAGCGTGGTGGTGCTCAACATTCACCATCGCTCACCCAACTCCTACAAGATGCCCTTCTGGGTGAGGCAGGTAAAGGGGCCGAGAAGGTCATCCAGTAGGGTCTTCGGTGCCATCTGAGCTGGGCGGTGCCCTTGCAGACGTTTCATGGCCCAACTGGGGAACATCATCAGTGCCAGAAGAGAGTGGGGTGTGTGGAGAGGAGGAGGAGGACTGGGGTGTCCTTGGTGCTCTCTGAGCTGGGTGGTTTTCTTGCAGACGTTTCATGACCCCACTTGGTTACATCATCCGTGCTAGAAGGGAGGAGGAGGAGGAGGAGGAGGACTGTGGGGTCCTTGGTGCTGTCTCAGCTTGATGGTTTCCTTGCAGACGTCTCATGACCAAACTAGGGAACATCATCAGTGCTAGAAGGGAGGGGGTTGTGGAGAGGAGGAGGATGGGGAAAAGAAAAGGTAGAAGGAGAAGAGGAAGAGGGGGAGGAGGAGGAGGACGGAGGAGGGGGTCCCTAGTGTTCTCTGAGCCAGGGGGTCTTCTTGCAGACGTCTCATGACCGAACTAGGGAACATCATCAGTGCTAGAAGAGAGGGGGTTGTGGAGAGGAGGAGGAGGATGGGGAAAAGAAAAGGTAGAAGGAGAAGAGGAAGAGGGGGAGGGGGAGGACGGGGGAGGGGGTCCCTAGTGCTCTCTGAGCCAGGGGGTCTTCTTGCAGATGTCTCATGACCCAAATGGGGAACATCATCAGTGCTAGAAGAGGGGGTGTGGAGAGGAGAAAGAGGAAGAGGAGGAGGAGAAAGAGGAAGAGGAGGAGAAGAAAGAGGAAGAGGAGGACCACCATGGGGTCCTGGGTGCTCTCTGAGCTGGGTGGTTTCCTTGCAGACGTTTCATGGCCCAACTAGGGAACATCATCAGTGCTAGGAGGAGGAGTGGGGGAAAGGACAAGGAGGAGCAGGAGGAGCAGGAGGCGGAGGAGGAGGAGGAGGAGGAGGGCAATAACAACTGTGGGGTCCTTGTGGGTCTCTGAGTTGGGTGGCTTCCTTGCAGACGTTTCATGGCCCAACTAGGGAACATCATCAGTGCTAGAAGGGGATGGGGTTCGCAGAGAGGAGGAGGAGGAGGAGGAGGAGGAGGAGGAGGAGGAGGAGGAGGAGGAGGAGGAGGAGGAGGAGGAGGACCACCATGGGGTCCCGGGTCCTCTTTGAGCTGGGTGGTTTCCTTGCAGACATTTCATTTTAAAGCTCTGCTTTGTTCCTGGACCGATTCTGCTGGGTCAGGTAAAAAAAGCGGAGAGACAGAGGGACTTCCCCTCCCTTCTCCTCCAGGTGTTTATCCACAAACTGCCCCCGTATCTGTGCCTGCAGCGTCCAAAGCTGGAGCCCCCCCTCAAGGCGCCCCCACCACTGCCCCGCCGGGAGACCGATGAGTACTTCATTCGGAGCCCCGTCTGCGACTTCTCCAAGCCCAGCAGGTGCCCAGGGAGGCTTTGGGGCAGGAAAGGAATCCAGAGGGAAGGAGGGAGGGAGGGGGAAGGAAGGAAGGAAGCAGGGAAGGGAGAAAGAGAGGGGAGGGGAGGGGAAGGAGAAAGAGGAGGGAGGGAGGGAGAAAGAGAGGGGGAGGGAGGGGAAAGGAGAGAGAAGGGAGGAAAGAGGGAGGGAGGGGGAGGGAGAGAGGAAGGCAGGAAAGGAAGCAGAGAAGGGAGGAGAGAGGGAAGGAGGGAGGGAGGGGAAAGGAGAAAGGAGGGAGGGAGAAAGAGAGGGGGAGAGAGGGGAAAGGAGAAAGAGGGAGGCAGGGAAGGAAGCAGGGAGGGAGGGAGGGGAAAGGAGAAAGGGAGGAGAGAGAAAGAGAGAGAGGGAGGGGAAGGAGAGAGGAAGGCAGGAAAGGAAGGAGCGAGGGAGGGAGGGAGCAAGGGAGGGAGGAGGAAAGGAGAGGGAGGAGGGGGAAGAGAGGAAGGGAGGGAAAAAAGGGAGGAACCACGAACGGAGGGAGGGAGAGGGGAGGAAGGGAGGAAAGGGACCGAGAAAGAAGAGAGGGATGAACAGACGGAGGGAGAGGGGAGGAAGGGAGGAAAGGGACAAAGAAGAGAGAGATGAACGGAGGGAGGAAGGGAAGGAGGAAATGAGAGAGGAAGGAAGGAGAGGGGAGGGGGAAGGGAAGGACAGACAGGGAGGGAGGGAGGGAGGAATAACTTTTGGATCTTTCCAAAAAACGCAAGATGTGCTCACATATCAACAGGGCGTCCTACTTTCAGCACTTTGTCAAACGGCCACTTTGCCGTCCTGTGCGTGTTGGAAAGACAACTTGGCACAAAGGCAACACAAAAGTGTTGGATCGTTGGGAAGGCAGAAAAGCCGGGCCGGATATCCCAGAATCTTCGCCGGATATTTTTCCAGGGTGCAAAGCAGGCGGCGAAGGGGGTTCCCCTGACCCCACCCCTGCTGGCTGGGGAATTCTGGGAGTTGCAGTCCGTCTATTCCAGTGGTTCTCACCCTGTGGGTCGGGACCCCATTTGGGGTCGAACGACCATTTCACGGGGGTCGCCAAACAACGCAGTCCGCCATTTTTTTCCCCCTTTTCCTTAGCTGTGCTCCTCCCTTTGATTCTATTGGCTTTTGAAAGCCAATGGAAGAGACTCTCTTGAATAGAGTCTAATTCTATTGGCTTTCAAAAGCCAATGGGAATTGTCCAGGCTGTCTCTGCCCTGCTGAGCCCACCAAAAGCCCCATTCTGCAAACGGTGCTGCACCAGTTGAGTAGTCCTCGACTTACGACCGGTGGAGTAGTCCTCGACTTACGACCGGTTGGGGGGTCGCAGCATTAAAAAGGTTGAGAACCACTGGCCTATTTTAAAGCGGCTGAGCCAGAGCCTCAGGCCCGTCGAGGGGAGGGAGCCCCTTCCTCCTTCAACCCCCTCCTCTCCTCCAAGGTTCCAGCTGGAGGTCTTCTCCATGAGCCTGCGACGGTTCATTGACGGCCCCAGCCACAGCCTCGCTCTGCCCCCCGACCTGAAGTCGGCCGTGGACGCCGTCCTGTACATCGCCCAGCAGCTCCAGGAGCAGGAAGACTACGACGGGGTGAGTTGGGGGGGGGAGGAAGTGTTGATAGAAAAACCTTCATCAGGGTCCAGTCCAAGCTGGGAATAATCAGAATGGAGACTGCTTTAGAAGGAAGGTTGTCGTTTATTGGAGAGCAGAGCTAGACAGAACGATAGCTCTGGGAAAAAGAAAAAAAAGAAGAGAGAGCACATGTAGCGGGGTTTTTATACCTTCGTGGGCTTTTGTTTGGAGAACTTTGACCCGAGTCTGCCTTTCTGGGATTCTGATGGTGGTGGGTTCACCCTATTGTGTCCCAAAGGTCATATCCTGCTTCTCTGGTGCTGTGGCTGATGTCTGTTGGATGTGTGTGTGTGTGTGTGTGTGTGTGTGTGTGTGATTGTTGAGTCTCGGGATCTTTGTCTTTCTAATCCCATCAGCTCATTTTCAATCCCATTTTCCTGACTCCAGTCTTTCTGAAAGGATTATCACATCTGCATTTCTGCAGAGCTGGTTTCTGTTCGGGGCAGAGAGACTGGGTGTGTGTGAGGGGGGGGAGGGGGTTGGTTTCTGCCTTTAAGATCCTTTGGGGAAATATAATATTCTGCCTTTTTAATGTTTCCCAAAATATTTCTTTCTCTGGATTCTTCCCACGGAAGGAAGGAAGGAAGGAAGGAAGGAAGGAAGGAAGGAAGGAAGGAAGGAGAGAAAATGGAGGAAGGAAGGAGAAAAAAGGGAGGGAGGGAGGAAGGAAGGAAGGAAGGAGAAAAGGGAGGGAGGGAGGAAGGAAGGAAGGAAGGAGAAAAGAGAGGGAAGGGAAAGGAAGGACAGAAGGAGAAAAGGGAGGGAGGAAGGAAGGAAGGAAGGAGAAAAGAGAGGGAGGGGAAAGGAAGGACGGAAGGAGAAAAGGGAGGAAGGAAGGAAGGAAGGAAGGAAGGAAGGAGAAAAAAGGGAGGGAGGGAGGAAGGAAGGAAGAAGAAAAGGGAGGGAGGAAGGAAGGAAGGAGAAAAGGGAGGGAGGAAGGAAGGAAGGAAGAAAGGAAGGAGAAAAAAGAGAGGGAGGGAGGGAGGGAGGGAGGGAGGGAGGAAGGAAGGAAGGAAGGAAGGAAGGAAGGAAGGAAGGAAAGAAGGAGCAAATCAATCCCCAGATCTTCCGAGGGTCCAAAACTCCAGGGGTCCACCACCACCAAGAGATCAACACCCTAACCCTTTTCATGGACTGGATGGACTTTGATCTCGTGATGGTGGCCATCTTGACCTTTTTGACACACTTCCACCTCTCTCCCTCCTGAGGCCACTTGCCCACCCCAACCCCTCCGTAACCTCCCTCGGGCTCCCATGTGTGGCGGAGGGGGCCTTCCCAAGCCCCCCACTCGCCCATCCACGGAGGCCTCTCCCCCTCCAGCTGAAGGAAGACTGGGAGTATGTGGCCTTGGTGGTGGACCGTCTCTTCTTCTGGACCTTCGTGGTCTTCACCTCCATTGGCACCCTCATCATCTTCCTGGACGCCAGCCTCCACCTGCCCCCGGAGAATCCTTTCCCCTGAGGAGACCCCTCCCCATACCCACAGGGAAGGCAGACCCCCCTCCCCAGCCAGCCAGAGAAGACAACCCAGGAGGAGGTGGAGATGCCTTCAAACCATCTTCATCCGGGAACAGCTTCCCCAACGTGGCGCTCTCCGAATGGGTTGGACTGGAACTCCCATTTCTCCCCGCCGGCAGGGGGCTGAGGCTCATAGGAGTTGGAGTCCAAGGCATGTGGAGGAACCCCCCCCCCCAAGGAAGGGCTGCCTTAGAGTCCAGCTACTTGTCACCGCAGAGTTTTGGGTTGCAACGGTGAAACCTGGAAAACTTTGCTCCCAATTTTGCTTTGGAAGAGACAAGCTGCAGGGAACATGGTTGTGGAGAGACGCAATTCGTGTGTCGCCCCCCCCCCCAATTTCCTGCTGGGCTTCCCCTAAATTCCCTTCTCCTGGTCTTGTGCGTTCCAGAAGGGCAGGACTACACTTCCCATCCTCCTTGGCAAGCCCAACCAGGATGCAAAGCTTCCTCCATCCATTATGTATTCAAGATGGACGATGTTTAACATTTACATGTTACTCAAATATAAGCGTGTACATCTATAGCAGAGGTCTTCAAACTTGGCCCTTTGATGACTTGTGGACTTTAACTTCAACTCCCAGAATTCCTCGGCCAGCGTGAGGGAACTAGGACCCTTTCATGACTTGTGGACTTCAACTCCCAGAATTCCTCAGCCAGCGTGAGGGAACTAGGACCCTTTGGTGACTTGTGGACTTCAACTCCCAGAATTCCTCAGCCAGCGTGAGGGAACTAGGACCGTTTTATGACTTGTGGACTTCAACTCCCAGAATTCCTCACCCAGTGTGAGGGAACTATCACCCTTTTATGACTTGTGGCTGAAGAATTCTGGGAGTTGAAGTCCACAAGTCATCAAAGGGCCAAGCTGGAAGACCCCTCCTTGTGGACTTCAACTCCCAGAATTCCTCAGTCAGGCACTGCCTCACTGAGGAATTCTGGGTGTTCAAGTCCACAAGTCATAAAGGGGCTAAGTTTGAAGACCCCTGGTCCATACACAGGTTGTATATAGTATGTTTTAAACGTGTGTTATGTATGTGTACACTTGGAGAACAAGAGACTAAATTTCATTTTTAATGTGTGCCGTTGTGCCCACGATAAAAAATGACAATAAAGGTTATCTAATCTCATGTAACCAATTCTGATTTTGTTTCATGAAAATTAGACCCTTATTTTTTTTAAAAAAGTGCTACTTTTCTTAATTTAATATAATTACAGCGACGAATGCGAATCCATCCTTTGGAGATTTATAAATATCGTCCTGCTTTGCTCCAGGCACAGGGGGTCCTCGGCTTACGACCGCAACGGAGCCCAAAATTTCTGTTGCTAAGTTGTAAAGTGAGCTTTTGCCCCATTTTTTTAACCTTCCTTGCCGCAGTTGTTCAGCGCAGGTGCGAAGTTAGGAACACGGTCGTTAAAATGAATCCGGCTTTCCCATGGACTTTGCTACTCAGAAAGTTGCAAAAGGGAACCATGGGACGCTGCGACCGTCGTAAATACGAGTCAGTGTCCGAGTTTTTATCACCTGACCACGGTCCTAAGTGTGAAAAACGGTCAAAGTCACTTTTTTTCAGTGCCGTTATAAGTTTGAATGGTCACTAAATGAACTGTTGTAAGTCGCGGACTGTATATAGAATAGAATAGAATAATATAGAATTGAATTGAATTGAATAGGATAATAAACTATAGAATAGATAGAATAGAATAAAATATAGAATTGAATTGAATAGAATAATAAAATATAGAATAGAATATAGAATAGAATATAGAATAGAATAGAATATAGAATTGAATTGAATAGAATAGAATAGAATATAGAATAGAATATAGAATTGAATAGAATAATAAAATATAGAATTGAATTGAATTGAATATAGAATAGAATAGAATATAGAGTATAGAATAGAATAGTATATAGTATTGAATTGAATAGAATAAAATATAGAATAGAATATAGAATTGAATAGAATAATAAAATATAGAATAGACTAGAATATAGAATATATAGAATAGAATAGAGTAGTATATAGTATTGACTTGAATAGAATAATAAAATATAGAATAGAATAGCATATAGAATTGAATAGAACAGTGGTTCTCAACCTTTTTAATGCCGGGGCCCCCAACCGGTCATAAGTCGAGGACTACTCAACCGGTCGTAAGTCAAGGACTACTCAACTGGTGCAGCACCGTTTGCAGACTGGGACTTTTGGCGGGCTCAGCAGGGCAGAGACAGCCTGGACAATTCCTATTGGCTTTTGAAAGCCAATAGAATTAGACTCTATTCAAGAGAGTCTCTTCTATTGGCTTTCGAAAGCCAATAGAATAAAAGGGAGTAGCACAGCCAAGGAAAAGGGGGGGGGGAAACGGCGGACTGCGTTGTTTGGCGACCCCCGTGAAATGGTCGTTCGACCCCAAATGGGGTCCCGATCCACAGGTGGAGAACCACTGGAATAGAATAATAAAATATAGAATAGAATATAGAATAGAATAAAATATAGAATAGAATAGAATAGAATAGAATAAGAAATAAGAATAGAATAGAATAGAATAGAATATAGAATAGAATAGAATAATGATAAGAATAGAATAGAATAGAATAGAATAGAATAGAATAGAATAGAATAGAATAGAATAAGAAATAAGAATAGAATAGAATAGAATAGAATAGAATAGAATAGAATAGAATAGAATCTGGAAGGGACCTTGGAGGTCTTCTAGTCCAGCCCCCCGCTCAAGCAGAACCTATACCATCTCAGACAAATAATTGTCTAGCTAGCCTCTTCTTAAAAACCTCCAGTGATGGAGCACCCCCTATTTCTGGTGGCAAGCTGTTCCACTGGCTAATTGTCCTCCCTGTCAGGAAGTTTCTCTATATCTATATAAGCCGCAACAAACTTAATTCCCATCTCTTTCTGGAGCCTCTTTTGTTTTCCACAAATGGTCAGGAATTGGGAGGTAGGGACAGTGTCAGAATTGGGTGGGGGGGGAATAAGGATTTTGGGGGGGGGGGTCTTCAAAGATCTTCCCTTGCCCGTTTTGTGGGAAGCCCCGATTTTGGTGTCCAAAGATCTCAGCCCTTTGCAACCCAACAGATGCCCCCCCCCCTCCAGAGTTTCACTCTCCCCTTGTGTGAATAACACCCCTGAAGTTGTGTTAGTGGGTTGTGTGGTTAGGGAGAAACCCAGGGCAAACAGAGTGACTGAAGCGGTGAGGTTCAAAGTCCCACCGAAAGCCCGATTAAACATTACCGGGAGAAGATGGTGCCAAATTGGTTATAGAATAAAAGCCAGGAGAAATTTTTTGCAAACATTTCTTTCTTTATGGACTTTTTGCTCCAAGGCTCCCTCGGACGGGTCAACGGTTCAGCCTCAAGAAAAAGGGTCCCGGCGTCCATGCTTCCCAGCCGCTTCCCATCTTCCACTTCCCAATCGCTCAGGGCACTTGAGACGTGCTCAGGAACACACCCTCCGCGATGTGTCCCCTCTCCCCCCCTCCCCTTTGATGCTAGACTCAGCTCTGATTGGCCATTTGGCTGAGCCGGTCCTGGTAAAACCGAAACAGGTTCCAGCCATCTTGGGCCGTGAGGTTCTCCGCTCCCCTCCTCTCCAGGTAGGCCACGTTTTCGGGCTTCAGGTGCGAGACATGCATGCGAAGCTCGGAGCAGCCTTGTTCCCAAGCGGCCTGAAATATGGGGGGGAGAGAGATAGAAAGAGCAGTTTGCAAAGGGTCAGCGCTACCCCCATCCCACCCCGCTTGGTTTGCCCCATCCGGACATCGGTGGCAACTGGGGCAGTGGAGACGCTGGTTCCCCCCCCCGAGTGACATCATCAGCCTTAAGTGGGCAAACTTGGGTCTGGTGGTTTGAAGGCGGCAGCTTAGAAAACAGGAGGCTGGGAGTTCTAGTTCCGCCAGCATGAAAGCCGGTTGGGTGACTTTGGTCCAATCACCAGGTGATGGTGAGTTCTAGTCCTGCTTTAAGCATAAAAGCCAACTGGGTGACTTTGGTCCAATCACCAGGTGATGGTGAGTTCTAGTCCTGCTTTAAGCATAAAAGCCAACTGGGTGATTTTGGTCCAATCACCAGGCGATGGTGAGTTCTAGTCCCGCTATAAGCATAAAAGCCAACTGGGTGATTTTAGTCCAATCACCAGGCGACGGAGAGTTCTAGTCCCGTTTTAAGCATAAAAGCCAACCGGGTGACTTTGGTCCAATCACCAGGCGACGGTGAGTTCTAGTCCCGTATAAGCTTAAAAGCCAACTGGGTGATTTTGGTCCAATCACCAGGCGATGGTAAGTTCTAGTCCCGCTATAAGCATAAAAGCCAACTGGGTGACTTTGGTCCAATCACCAGGTGACGGTGAGTTCTAGTCACGCTCTAAGCATAAAAGCCAACTGGGTGACTTTGGTCCAATCACCAGGCGGCAGTGAGTTCTAGTCCCTCTATAAGCATAAAAGCCAACTGGGTGATTTTGGTCCAATTACTAGGTGACGGTGAGTTCTAGTCCTGCTTTAAGCATAAAAGCCAACCGGGTGATTTTGGTCCAATCACCAGGCGATGGTGAGTTCTAGTCCCGCTATCAGCATAAAAGCCAACTGGGTGACTTTGGTCCAATCACCAGGTGATGGTGAGTTCTAGTCCTGTTTTAAGCATAAAAGCCAACTGGGTGATTTTAGTCCAATCACCAGGTGGCGGTTAGTTCTAGTCCCGCTATAAGCATAAAAGCCAACTGGGTGACTTTGGTCCAATCACCAGGTGATGGTGAGTTCTAGTCCTGTTTTAAGCATAAAAGCCAACTGGGTGATTTTAGTCCAATCACCAGGTGGCGGTTAGTTCTAGTCCCGCTATAAGCATAAAAGCCAACTGGGTGACTTTGGTCCAATCACCAGGCGATGGTGAGTTCTAGTCCTGTTTTAAGCATAAAAGCCAACTGGGTGATTTTAGTCCAATCACCAGGTGATGGTGAGTTCTAGTCCCGCTATAAGCATAAAAGCCAACGGGGTGACTTTGGTCCAATCACCAGGCGACGGTGAGTTCTAGTCCCGTATAAGCTTAAAAGCCAACTGGGTGATTTTAGTCCAATCACCAGGCGACGGTGAGTTCTAGTCCCGCTCTAAGCATAAAAGCCAATCAGGTGACTTTGGTCCAATCACCAGGCGACGGTGAGTTCTAGTCCCGTATGAGCTTAAAAGCCAACTGGGTGACTTTGGTCCAATTACCAGGTGATGGTGAGTTCTAGTCCCGCTCTAAGCATAAAAGCCAACCGGGTGATTTTGGTCCAATCACCAGGCGACGGTGAGTTCTAGTCCCGCTATCAGCATAAAAGCCAACTGGGTGACTTTGGTCCAATCACCGGGCGATGGCGAGTTCTAGTCCCAGCTTATGCACGAAAACCAGCTGGGTGGCTCCAGGCCAATTACCAGGAGACGGGTGAGTTCTAGTCCTGCCTTCGGTGTGAAAGCTGGCTGGTGACTTTGGGTGACTCATTCCCTCCCAGCCTAACCTACCTCACAGGGCTGTTGTGGGGAAGCTAAGAGAGGAGAGGCTATGTTCACCACCTTGAGGGTGAAAATAATATGGGCAGGATAACGCAGGATAATGCAAGCAGGCAAAGGGGCAGGCAGGGGACTGAACCCCAACTGGGATGGGGCAGGGGTGTGTGAGGAGGGGTCTCACCTTGGCTGCCTCCTTCAGCAGGGAGTTCCCGATCCGCATGCCTGCAAGGAAGGGGGGGTCAGAAGAGCAGGGGTAAAATCGGGGGGCAGGACCCCATCCCTACCCTCGGGAAGCTGGCAAGGGCAGAGCAGGGACCATGCCAGGGCTTGGGGTCCCCCCAGGAAAATGAGTCGATCAGCCAGCGAAGGAAAGAAAGATTTCCTGGCCTCGTCAGGTGGAACTCCCTGCCACTGGATAGAGAGTGGGGAAAAAAGTCCGCCGCTGGAGAACTGGTGGACCTTGTTTAGGGAAATGGGATTGAGTTGTGAATAAACAAAAGAGCCCCCAAAAAGCACCTGGGCAGGGGGGTCGGTCGGGAGGGCAAAGGGGGCGGGACATGATGTCACAGGGGTCACGACCTCATCGCCCTCTCTGACCCTATGACCTCCCACCTCGGGCCCAGGGAGTGTCAACTGCGTTCTGCATCCCCACAAGGTAAGCCAACAACACACAAGCCAGTCTTATGGGAACCCAGGCCCTGGGCGTTTGAAACCATGGTTTTCCGGATGAATAGGCTGTGAGAATGCAACCCAATGTGGCTTGTTTGGGAAAGCATGATTAAGCCTGCTCTGGCTTGGCAGGCAACGTGAACCCAATTGCCCAGGAGAGAGCCAGGGTGGTCTTCCAATCTCACCTCTGAATTCGGGCATGACGTAAAAATTGTCGATGTAGAGATTTTTCCCTTTCCAGCTGTTGTAGGTGTAGCTGGATAGGACGTATCCAGCCAGGGTGAAACCTGTAGGGAGAGAGAGAGAGAGAGGGGAGGGAGGGGGGGGAGAAACAGGAAAGGAAGGAAAGAGAAGGAGAGAGGGAGGAAGGGAGGGAAGAAGGAAGGAAGGAAGGAAAAGAGTGAGGGGGAAGGGAAGAAAAGAGGAAGGAGAAAAACAAAAGGAAGGAAGGAGAGAGACAAAGAGAGAACGATAAAGAAAAAAAGAAAAGGAAGAAGGAAGGAAGGAAGAGTGAGGGACAAAGTGAAAAGAGGGAGGAAGGAGAGAAACAAAAGGAAAGGAGAAAGAAAGAAAGAAAGAAAGAAAGAAAGAAAGAAAGAAAGAAAGAAAGAAAGAAAGAAAGAAAGAAAGAAAGAAAGGAGGGAAGGAAGGAGGGAAGAAGGGAGGGAGGGAAAAAGAAGAGGAAGGAAGGAGAGAAACAAAAGGAAAGGATAAAGAAAAAGATAGATAGATAGATAGATAGATAGATAGATAGATAGATAGATAGATAGATAGATAGATAGATAGGAGGGAGGGAGAGAGAAAGAAAGAAAAAAAGGAAAGAAAAGAAAGAAAGAAAGAAAGAAAGAAAGAAAGAAAGAAAGAAAGAAAGAAAGAAAGAAAGAAAGAAGGATCTAGTCAGGAGACTCCTTTCTATCCTTGGGGTTGTGCATAATTACGCTTCCCCCTGATTCTGTGCCGGGAGAGTCAGGGGTGCAAATCCCTTGGGGGGGGTCCTCGGAGCCCCCCCAAGAGGGCCAGGATGGCGGCTGAGTCGGACAGCTGTGCCCCCCCCATCAAACACACAGAGCGTCCATCAAGCACACCTTTGTGGCCCCCATTCCCCCGTTCCCCCCATTCCTCGGGCCCCGTCAGCCCCCCCAAAGAGCGGGGTCTCCATTGGGGTCCCCTTACCTTCCGGGCTCTTCCGCTCTGGGGGGATCTCAGCCACAAAACACTCAAATTTCGGGCGAGGGCCAAATCCGGCTTCTTCCAGGGCTGGCGAAAAAGGAGACGGAAAAATGCTCTTTTTTGGGGGGGAAAACCCGCTGATTTTCTCTTCCCAACTCCTTTGCCGGGTGGAAAATGGGGGAGCATTTATGGGGGGGCAGCAATTGGGGAAGCGTTTGCCCCCTCCCTCTCTTCCTGGCCTTCCTCATCAGTGTTGTGTTTGTGGTCAAGTGGGGACGCCCCATAAAGTGTTTCTGTTTTTTTTTTTTTGTCCTTTTAATTCCCATTTTTCTGGAAAAAACTTGTTTAAAAAAAAGTTGTCTAGACCTCCAAGGTCCCTTCCAACTTTATTATTATTATTATTATCGATCATCGCACAGTCAGCCAGATGTTCAGACTGGATTTGGCATTTTGTTATTATTATTATTATTATTATTTGTTTTTTCTCAAAAGTTTTTTTTTTTTTGCTTTTGGATTTTGCACTTTCGTCTTTTGAATGAAATAAAAATTAAATAAAAAAAGAAGACAACAAACCCAATTCAGGGGTGGACAACAAGCAGGTTCATTGATTGATTGATTGATTGATTGATTGATTTGCTGACTGACAGATGTATAGGCTGCCTCTCACTCTGGGTGGTTTACGACCACAATGGAATGTAAGTGAAACAGTTAAGTTGTCTCATTTTACGACCTGAATCCTTGCAGTCATTAAGTGAGTGACCGTCATTAAGCAAATCTGACTCCGCCATTACTTGTCAGGAGGTCACAAAAAGGGGATCGCGTGACCCCGGGACACTGACGCCGTCATAAAGGCAAGTCAGTTACCGAGCATCCGGATTTTTATGATTGTGACCATATGGATGCTGCAAATGGTCGTTAAGCGGGAACAACAGCCACTTTTTTCCCAGTGCCGTTATTAGTTCGGACACTAAATGAATCTTAAGTCGAGGATCATATCCATAATTCAGAGATTTCACGACACGGTTCGAAGTTCAAAAAAATAAAAAAAGAGGAAAGAACAGATTCAACTGAATCTGTAAACTGACGGTTGAATTTGCACCCGGGACTCGGCCTGGTGGATGGGAACCGTGGTTATTTTTACGGCGTCACTCTTTTCTCTGCCCTGTAGTGCAAACCCAGTTTGTTGAGTCATGTAAAGGGGAGTCTTCAAACTTGGCCACTTAAAAGACTGGTGGACTTCAACTCCCGGAATTCCGCAGCCAGCCAAGCTGGCTGGGGAATTCTGGGAGTTGAAGTCCACACGTAAAGGCGAGCTTTGCACATGCTCAGAAACCCCCAGCCCCGCCTCACCATACCTTGCACGTTGGTAGACAGGCTTTCCAGAGGCACGTTGTAAATGACAGCGATGTCCTGCAGAGAGACAAAACGGGTCCTTGACTTGTGACGGCCATCGGATCTCAAGGCGCTCCCTGAGTCACGACAGTTAGTCCTCGATTTCCGACGGTTTCTTTAGCGGTGGTTCAAATGAAAAAAGTGAGGCCTGACCGTTTTTGTTCCCCACTTAATGACAGTTGCAGCGGTTCCCCCGTGGTTCCCATAATCCAAACCCCGCCCTCCAGCAACCGACTCGTATTTACGACGGTCACAGGGATCCCTTCGGGTGACGGTCCGGCAAGCAAATCTGATGGGGAAGCCAGATCCGCTTAACGACCGGGCAACTAATTTAATAACTGCAGTGATTCACTTAGTAACCGGGCCAAAAAAGGTTGTAAAATGGGGGAAAGAAAAAAAATCCCTTAACAATGAAGTAGCAGGGCTTGCCTTGCGCTTTGTATAGTGACCGTTCAAAGGACATTTAAAAAAACCCCTGACTTCTGACATTCAAAGTTACGACAGCGCTGGAAAAAAGTGGCTTGTGCCCGTTTTTCACGCTTAACGACCGTTCCAGGATCCCCCCCGTGATCAATACTGGGACACCGGGCAATTGACTCGCACTTGTGACGGTCCCGGAGTCACGCGATCCCCTTTCGCGACCTTCCCGGCTGGCTTTCCGACACGCAAAGTCAACGGAGGGAGCCGGGTTCGCTTAACGACGGACCGCGCGTGATTTATTCGGGAACCCCAGTGACTTGCTTTAGCAAGGCAAAAAGGACACAACTCACTTAACGGGGGTCCCGGTTTGGCCGTAAGTGGAGGACTGCCCGCATTGGTTATTCCACGTGGCCGTGGCCCCTCCCGCCCATCCGGCGGCCTCACCTTGATCAGGCGCATGATGTCCCTGAGGTCCCTGCGGGCGCAGGGGCGGACCACCACAGAGCTCATGGTTCCCGGCCGTTCCCTGCTCTGCCTGCCTCTCGGCTCAGCCGGGCTGCTTGACGGACGGGCGGGAGGAGGCGGGAAGATTTATTGTTGCCTCCTCCTCCTCCTCCCCCCCCATGGCTTGACCCACTTGGCACGCTGAAGACCCCACTTGGAAATGGGGGGGGGGACGGGGAAGCAGGAAGGGAGGGGCACTTCATTAAAAAAATAATGAAAAGAGCCAAATTGTAAGTAAATTAGGGTTTTTTTTAAAAAAATTAAAAAGTTAAAACGATCTTTAACAATTTGAAAAATGGGGGGGGGGGGTTTTGCCCTGGGGGGGGGTCTCCGAGCTGGACTCTTCGTTGGCCAAGGTTCCTTTAGGGAAAGTAGGTGACCTCATCCCCCCCCCCCCCCCCCGGCTTTAAAGAAATGAAAATAAAAGAATTAAAATTAAGCTAGGCAATGTATGCGTGGGAAGGGAAGCAGCAGGATTTTTTTTTTCTTTTTGTTTCTTTTCCTTCCTTCCCTCCTTCCCTTTCTTTTCCTCCCTCCTTCCCTCTTGTCTTTCTTCCTTCCTTCCTTTTTTCTTTCTTTCTTTTCCTTCCTTCCCTTCTCTTTTTCCTTCCTTCCTTTCTTTTTTCTTACTTTCTTTTTCTTTTCCTTCCTTCCCTTCCTTTTCCTTCCTTTTCTCCCTTTTCTTTTTTCTCTTTCTTTTCCTTCCTTCCCTTCCTTCCTCCTACCCTCTTGTCTTCCTTCCTTTTCTTCCCTTCTTTCTGTTTCTTCCTTCCTTCTTTCTCTTTTCTTCCTTCCCTTCTTTTCCTCTCCTTCCCTCTTGTCTTCCTTCTTTCTTCCTTTCCTTCCTTCCTTCTTTCTTTCTTTTCCTTCCCTCCCTTCTTTTTTCCTTCCTTCCTTTTTTCTTTCTTACTTTCTTTTTTCTTTTCCCTTCCCTTCTTTTTCCTTCCTTCCTTCCTTCCTTTCTTTCTCTTTTCCTTCCTTCCCTTCTTCCCTCCTATCCTCTTGTCTTCCTTCCTTTTCTTCCCTTCTTTTTCTTCCTTTCTTTTCCTCTCTCCTTCCTTCTTGTCTTCCTTCTTTCTCTTTCCTTCCTTTCCTTCCTTCCTTCTTTCTTTTTCTTTCTTTTCCTTCCTTCCTTTCTTCTTTTTTCCTTCCTTCCTTTTTTCTTTCTTTCTCTTTTCCTTCCTTCCACTCCTTCCTTCCTTTTCTTTTCTTTCTTCTCTTTTCTTTTTTACTTCCTTCCCCCCTTCCTTTTCTCTTTCTTTCTTTCTTTCTTTCTTTCTTTCTTTCTTTTCTTTTCTTTTCTTTTCTTTTCTTTTCTTTCCTTCCCCCCCTCCTTCCCCATTTCAGCGAATGACTCCACGCAGCTCATAATTCCATTTATAAAGGCTGGGAACACCCAGGTGGCTTTTAAGACTTTGGGGAGAATCTTTTTTTTTTTTTTTAAAGTTCCTCAGCGCTACAAACGTTGCCGGGTGGGTCTCTGGATTCAGGACCCCCAGGATGTGGCACCAATCAGAAAAGACTCCCCCCCCCCCCGACAACTGACCTAGAGGTAGACTGTCCCTCATTGTGGAGGCTCTACCAAAGCAACAGTCCCCGCTAAGCTCATCCGATGCTCATTCCTTTTAAGCCATTGGCCCTTGACCCCTAAAGAGGGGATTTCTGGATTCATTTTGTCAGAGTGCTCGACTCTCGAACTCGTGACCGTGCTGAGACGCAGTGTCCTTTCCGGCTGGCTGCCTCGTTAACGTTTAGCCTCTTTGCAAAGCCTGGGCTCTTGCGTCACTCGGACTTGGCTCCTTCTGGGCTTCGGAGTCCCCTCTCTTCGGGCCCAGGGAGCCCCTCCCTCCCATTTGCACACATACGCAACCACACAATCACACAGGGTCCACCGCTCAAAGCCTCCGTCCAAGGTCATAATCACCTTCCCCAACCTACTACCCTGCAGATGTATTTGATGCCAGGCCCGGGAGCGATGGGCATTGGAGTCCGAGACCCCTCCCCTCCCTCCCGTAGGGGAAGGATCTTGAAAACCAAGCAGGGTCACCTTTGTGCGACCTTTCGCACACACAAAAGTTGTGTTTTGTCAAGTCGGGCCCCTTGCACAACCATCACACCCCTACACACCCACACAAACCCACAACCTGCCTTATTTTATTCTCGGGGGGGGGGGGGAGTGGAAATATCCAAGAGAATTCAAGAGCCAGCAAAGATCACTTCGGAAGGAAAAAATGGCTGCAATTCCAGAAGGCAGAAGAGGGAAGATTTTTCTACATTTACACTTTAATATATGTGTTTCACCCATTTGCGGTGTGTGTGTGTGTGTGTGTGTGTGTGTCTGCGTTGGCCGTACACGGCTCAGAGTCCCTTCTTAGGGACAGCCGTATAAATGTGAAATAAAATAAAAGGCTAAAAAATAAATAAATAACAAGTTAGCAATAAAATGGAAAAACAACAAAATAAAAACATTAAATATAACAATAAGAAACATTAAATATAATAACAATATACAATAAATAGAATAGAATTTGTCCGAAATGGTATAGGGTTTCTTGCCTGAGCAGGGGGTTGGACTAGATGACCTCCAAGGACCCTTCCAACTTAATAATAATAATAATAATGAAAAATAGACTATATATAAATAAATAGAAATAAAATGAAACAGTAAAATAAAACAAAACAAATAAAATCAGGCCGCTGAGGATGATGGGTGTTGGAGTTGAAGGGGTATACAGGGATGAAGGCCAGGGAAGGGTCTTCCGGGAGGCCCCAGCAGGACCACCCAATAAATATTGGGGGGGGGGGGGAAATGCCAAGTCCGAGGCGCTTGCTGTTCAGCATCTGGGGGTCTCACATTAAGGGGGCCCCAGGGTGACCCCATTTCTTGGTTTGACAAGAGGCTGGCTGGCAAATCGACCCAAGTCCTGGGTTCGAATTACGCTCTGGGCACGGAAACTCTGAAAAACTTGTGTTTTTCAAAGTGGGCCACTTTGAAGCCGGGCGGACTTCAACACCCAGAATTCCCCAGCCTTCAAGTGGCCCAGGTTGAGAAACACGGCTCCAGACAACCGGGAAGGCTTGACACGACCCGGCTACTCGCGTCGTGTGAACGCAGCCGCTAGCCTCCTCGACGCTGGCGCTTTAAATCGAAGCCAATCCGGACTAGTATCGCTCCTCCTCCCTCCCTCCCTCCCTCTCTTTCTCCCCCCCCACCCCTGACTAGGGCATGCCGGGAAACGTAGTTCTGGAGGAGGAAACCGGCCGGTCGCCTCCGCAGCCATGGACTTCGCCGCCGCGGTCACTGTCCGGCCGTGCCGAGCCGAGGACTGCGCGGACGTGGGGCGCATGATCCGGGTGGGCGGGGGGCGAGCTCTCCAAAGGCCGTGGGGGGGGGGGAAAGAGCTCTTGCAAGCTGGGAGGGGGTCCTAAAGGGGGGGGGCTTTGCAAAGGGGAAGAGGTGTCTATAAGGGAGGGGCAGCTTTGCAAGCGGGGGGTCTTAAAGGGAGGCGGGCTTTGCAAGCGGGGGGTCTTAAAGGGGGATTTTGCAAGCGGGAGGGGGGCCTTAAAGAGACAGGAGCTTTGCAAAGGGAAAGAGGTGTCTTAAAGGGAGGGGGGGCTTTGCAAGAGGGAGTTCTTAAAGGGAGGGGGGCTTGCAAGCGGGAGGGGGGCCTTAAAGAGACAGGAGCTTTGCAAAGGGAAATAGGTGTCTTAAAGGGAGGGGGGCTTTGCAAAGGGAAATAGGTGTCTTAAAGGGAGGGGGGCTTTGCAAGAGGGAGTTCTTAAAGGGAGGGGGGCTTTGTAAGCGGGGGGGTCTTAAAGGGGGCTTTGCAAGAGGGAGGGGGGTCTTAAAGAGACGAGCTTTGCAAAGGGAAAGAGGTGTCTTAAAGGGAGGGGGGCTTTGCAAGAGGGAGTGCTTAAAGGGAGGGGGGCTTTGTAAGCGGGGGGGGTCTTAAAGGGGGGCTTTGCAAACGGGAGGGGGGGCCTTAAAGAGAGAGGAGCTTTGCAAACGGAAAGAGGTGTCTTAAAGGGAGGGGGGCTTTGCAAGAGGGAGTTCTTAAAGGGAGGGGGGCTTTGCAAGCGGGGGGGTCTTAAAGGGGGGCTTTGCAAGCGGGGGGGGGCCTTAAAGAGACAGGAGCTTTGCAAAGGGAAAGAGGTGTCTTAAAGGGAGGGAGGCTTTGCAAGAGGGAGTTCTTAAAGGGAGGGGGGCTTTGCAAGCGAGGGGGGTCTTAAAGGGGGGCTTTGCAAACGGGAGGGGGGTCCTAAAGAGACAGGAGCTTTGCAAAGGGAAAGAGGTGTCTTAAAGGGAGGGGGGTTTGCAAGGGGGAAGGAGGAATCTTAAGGGGGGGGAACCTTGCCTACTTGCCTACCCACCCACTTACCTGTCTTGACCTCGCGCGAAGGCGAGGCGGGGGTCGCCTCGGCTGCTTTTGCCCCGGAGCCCCACCGCCCGACTTCGCGGCTCGGGAACGCGCACGGGGGGGGGGCTCCAGGCGCGCTCCCGGGCCACCTCTGCCCCCCCCCCGCCAGCCGTAGGAGCCGCTTCCAGAGTCTTCCCCTCCCTCCCTTCCGGGGGCTGGTGGGGGAGACCCCCACCCAGAAAGGGCGACCGGCTGCGCTCAAGGGATCAAAAGGGAAGGCAGAATAAGGCCCTGCCGTCTGCCGAGGGGAGGGGTCGCTTTGCCCCCACCCCAATGGGAGAAGCCAGCCGGCACAGCCACTTTGGTCTCCTGAAGGGGTCTTTTCTCTTCCCCCCCCCCCCAGGAATTGGCAGCCTTTGAAAAAATGTCGGAGCAGGTCAAAATCACGGAGGAAGGTAAGTGGGCCCTGGTCTTTTACTTGCCCTGGGGGGTGGGGGTCCTGTCTGGACGACCTTGAAAGGCTGACAGACCCAGAGCACTCCACAAAGTGAATAACAGGTAGTCCCCGACTTACAACGATTCATTTAGTGTCCGTTCCAAGTGACAACGGCACTGAAAAGCAACGTAGAACTCTTGCTGCATTCCCTACGGGCCCGTCATCAAAATTCGAACGCTTGGCCACCGACTCATCTTTATGACGGTCGCAAGGTTCCCGGGGTCACGTGGGACCTTTTGCGACCATCCAACTCTGTTATTCTGAAAGGGTCTCCTGCTTGAGCAGGGGGTTGGACTAGAGGACCTCCAGAGTCCCTTCTGACTCTGCTATTCTGAAAGGGTCTCCTGCTTAAGCAGGGGGCTGGACTAGAGGACCTCCAGGGTCCCTTCCAACTGTATATTATTCTGAAAGGAGACCCCTTGGAGAAGGATAAGGCAGAGGGTGGCATTAAGCAGTACCTTCAGCCTGGTTTTATTCACAAATATTTTCCCTTTCAGAAGATCCGCGTCCATTGGGGGGGGGGATTGTCCTCATGGGTTCCCCCCCCCTCCACTTCTAAACACTGTTTGCTTTTCTCCTACTTGGCCTGACCAGGGTTGTGTGAAGACGGCTTCGGTCAGGACCCCTTTTACAAATGCCTGGTGGCTGAGTTGCCCTCCCCGTGCCTGAGCAAAGAGGGTGAGTTGGGGTCCTGCTAGTATCCAGGGGTGAACCCCACCGATATTTCTGAACCTCAGTAAACTTAGAAGATGTGTGGACTTCAACTCCCAGAATTCCTGAAAAGCTGACTGGAGAATTCTGGGAGTAGAAGTCCATGCATCTTAAAACACGCTGGCTAGGGAATTCTGGGAGTTGAGGTCCACGCATTTTAAAGTGCTGGCTTGGGAATTCTGGGAGTTGAAGTCCATAAATCTTTAAAGTGTTGGCTCAGGAATTCTGGGAGTTGAAGGCCACGAGTCATGAAGGGGGCCATAGTTCCCCCATGCTGGCAGAGGAATTCTGGGAGTTGAAGGCCACGAGTCATGAGAGGATCATAGTTCCCCCATGCTGGCTCAGGAATTCTGGGAGTTGAAGTCCACAAGTCATGAAGGGATCATAGTTCCCCCATGCTGGCTCAGGAATTCTGGGAGTTGAAGTCCACGAGTCATGAAGGGGCCATAGTTCCCCCATGCTGGCTGAGGAATTCTGGGAGTTGAAGTCCACGAGTCATAAAAGAGCCCAGGTTGCCTACCCCTCATAGGGACTATAGAATTGTAGAAATTAATTGGGATGGATTGTTTTTTAAACACTAACCCAGACAACGCGATGTTTACCAAATATGAAGGGGTATGTTAAACATCAATAAAACATATTTTTAAAAATAATAAAAGTTTTTTTTCCCTCTCTTCCCTGCAGGCCACAGCATCATAGGTTACGGCCTCTACTTTTTCATCTACAGCACCTGGAAAGGCAGGAACGTCTACGTGGAAGACCTGTATGTGATGCCAGAATTTCGGGGTGCGTAGCTTATTCGGGGTGAGCTTGGCTAAAAGGAAGGAATTCTAGTTTTTAAAATGGGTGTGGGCCCTTTTATGACTTGTGGACGTTGTTGACTGAGGAATTCTGGGAGTTGAAGTCTACGATTCATAAAAGGGTCACAGTTCCCTCACGCTGGCTGAGGAATTCTGGGAGTTGAAGTCCACAAGTCATAAAAGGGTCATGAAATGCCCTTGAACCCTTCCAGCTCTCTTGCTAAGTTGCGTTGTGTTGTTGTGTTTGTGTTTCCTTCCAGAGAAAGGAGTGGGACAGAAGCTCCTGAGTGAGATTGCAAAGGTAACACAAATGTCGCTCCCCAGTTGCCAAAAACAAAGACTGTCTGAGTGGGGAGGGGGCATGCCCCAGGGAACTGGGGGGATCTTACAAACCCCCATCCCTTGTCCCCTCGAAGCTGGAATCACTAGACTAAGGGGGTCTTTAAGCCTGGCCCCTTTAAGACTTGTGGACTTCAACTCCCAGAATTCCTCAGCCAGCCGTGTCGGCTGGCTGAGGAATTCTGGGAGTTGAAGTCCACAAGTCTTAAAGGGGCAGGTTTGGCGAGCTCTGCATTAACCAGTCAAGACACACATCACTATATCCCAAGAACATCACAATTGGCCCAACCTCATTTGCCCACCCACCCAATTTCTGCCCCCCCCCTCCAGATCTCATCTCCTCCCAGGGATCCCCTCCCCTGGAGCTAAGCCCCTCCGCTCTGCCCCCCAGATCTCCTTGGAGAAAGGCTGCACCCAAATGAGGCTGGGGGTGCTGGACTGGAACCGCTCGGCCCTCGACTTCTACTCCCGGCGAGGGGCTGTGGACCTGACGGCCTCGGAGGGCTGGCACTCCTTCCGCTTCGAGGCAGAGGCCCTGCAGCGGCTGGCCCTGGGCGAGGCGGGCAGAGGGGCCGGGCTGGGGTCCTTGAGCCCTGCTGGGCGGGGGTCTCTTCCAGCCCCCGAGACTCTGCCCAGGTTGACTCAGGGTGTACCAAGCTGGCAATAAATCTGAATTTCTAAGAAATGCCTTGGGATTCACTGGGGGTGTTGTTGTTTTTTCATTTAGTTTGCTGTGGCTATGACCAGAGGGGGGGGGGGTAAAGAAAGAGAGAAAGAGAGAGGGAGGGAGGGAGGAAGGATGGATGGATGGATATAGAATAGATAGATAGATAGATAGATAGGGTGGATAGATAGCAACAGACAGGTGATAAATAGTGATAGAGGGAGAAATAGAGAGGGAGAGATAGAGATAGATTGATAGGGATAGAGATAGACTGACAGGTAGGTAGAATGGATCGATAGATAGCAACAGACAGGTGATAGATAATGGTAGATGAGAGAGGGAGAGATATAGATAGAGAGACTGAAAGATAGGTAGACAGAATGAATAGATAGATGATAAAATGAACGGATGGACGATGGACTGGATGGATGGATGGATGATAAAACTGACAGATGATGGAGAAAGAAAAATAGAACTAAAGAGATTATAGATAAACAGATGATAGAGCTAGAGAGAGAGATGATAGATGAAGGAAGGAAGGAAGGAAAGGAAGTAAGGAAGGATAGATAGATAGATAGATAGACAGACAGACAGACAGACAGACAGACAGAAGGCAGACAGACAAAAATAGAAATAATAGAAATGGAAATATAAATATGATAGAGCTAGAGACAGACAGACAGACATAGGTGGCTGAATGGATGTCGTCCAGAATCACCAACGGTAAGTTTGGTGCCCACATATGTTTTCTTAATCAATAAATAAAGAGGATAAGCCACAAAACCCAGAAAGACAGAACACCGCGTGTTGTGCGAAGGCCATGCTGGGGTCCCAGGCTGGAAAACCCCCCTAACCCCCCACCCACCTCAGGCCTGCCTGCTGACCGATGGGAGCTGCTCGCCTTTTCACTCGTCCAGGATGCAGAGAAGAGGCCAATTTTTGCCTTAGATTTTTGTCTCAGATTCGTTTTATTGGCTCCAAGAAGCGTCGGGCAGCTGCTTCACGGGGGTCCGGCTGGCGGCGTCTCCCCCGGGACTCACTGCAGCGCCTGCATTTCGCACAACCACCTAAAGCGGGACTGGCAGAAGATTTCGCTCCACAGCCCATCCCGGTAAATCATGGTGCAGAATTCGTCGTAAGCCACTGGTTCGTTGGGCCGCCAGTCACTAGAAACGGCAAAGCAGAAGAGGGGGGGGGTCAGCCCAGGAGTGGGAGGAAGACCCCCGTCTATCTGTGTGGAGGAGGCAGCTAAGCCGGATGAGATTTGGAAGGATCCCTGAGGTCATCTAGTCCAACCCGACCCGCAGCAGCCATCCAATTTTCCCCTGACTAGGGTGAGGGGAGCGGGGGGGGGGTCACAAGGGAGGCGGCATTTCGTAGCCTGGGGGAATTGTGCAAATTGGCTTGTTTGTGCTGCAAAGGATACCAATCTGAGTCAGTTGAGGAAACCTGGTTAGTGAACTCTGGGTTATCGCAGCTGTAATGGTAGGAAGGCCTGTTGAGCAGTGAACATATTGCGAGACTAGGTTTGATTCCGTCTCTGGCCTGGTTGCAGAAGCCCAATACGGGATGGGTGGATGGAGGAGAGAGGCCAGTGGGGAGACTCACATCCTGCGCACCATGTAGGGTGTCCCGTCCACCCAATTCCACGTCTGGCCGTTGAACTTCAGCCCGATCCAAACGGTGTTTGGTTTGGTGAGCCGGGACACAAATTGCTACGCGAGAGACAAAGGCAGAGCAGGCATCAGCCGGACACCGAGGGTCTCCGCCCTCTGCCAGTCCGGTGGCCTTGGCCCCCCTCCCTGCGATGGATGGGGAAGTGGAGACACTGACCTTCTCTAGGTAGCTGGTGATGATCACCAGGTGGGCTTGCTTCTCTTCGCAATCCTGCTTGGCTTCAGGCCAGCTCTTCTCCGCAGAGGAGAACCAGTAGCAGCTCTGCTGAAAGAGATGCCAGCCCCGGCGGCAGCAGCCCCTCTGCGGCCCTATGGGGGGCGGTTGGAGGGGGGAGAAGAGGGGGGGCACCATTAGAGCTGAGGCGGGGGACAGGGATACGGTAGGCAGCAGTGGGAATTTGGGGCCCCTTGGGGTCGCAAGGCGAGGACCCCCGGTGCAATCCAGAGATCTGGAGGGCGCTGGACTGGGAAGGTCCCCCGTCCCCCCCCACCCTGTTGTCCCCCCCATCTGGGTCACCTGACCGCTTGTGTTTTGTGTCCTCCAAGTCGCAATTCAGCTGCTGCAGAACCCTTTCAAGTTTCTGGATCTGGTCCTGGAAGTGGGACATCTCTGGAGGTGGAGAAGGGGAGGGTCACTCCTTGGTGTTGGGTCTGGGCAAAGGAGGGTCTCTCCCGAATGTGGGGGCCAAAGGGGTGACTTTTCAACGCCTCCCTTACTCCCAAATTTACTTTCTTTTCCATCGCTGGTGACATGTATCACTGCCTGGTTTGTTTTTTCGATCGTTTTCACGTTGTTGGTCTCTGGGAAAGATGTAAACAAATCAGAGCAGTGTTGCTCAACCTTGTCTGCGGGAAGATGGGTGGACTTCAACTCCCAGAATTCCCTGCCAGCCATCGAAGTTGGAGTCCACAAGGCTTAAAGTGCCAAGTAACTTTGGAGATTCCCTGCTCTAATGCAACGTTTCTCAACCTCGTCTGCTGGAAGGCAGGTGGACTTCAACTCCCAGAATTCCCCACTAGCCAGGCTGGCTAGTGGGGAATTCTGGGAGTTGAAGTCCACCTGCCTTCCAGCAGACGAGGTTGAGAAACGTTGCATTAGAGCAGGGAATCTCCAAAGTTACTTGGCACTTTAAGCCTTGTGGACTCCAACTTCAATGGCTGGCAGGGAATTCTGGGAGTTGAAGTCCACGAGGCTAAAAGTGGCCCCCTTTGGAGAGCCTTGGGTTTGAGCGTCAAACATTCATGGAAGAACAGAAGCCAAGAAGGAGAGAGAGAGAGAGAGAGAGAGAGAGAGAGAGAGAGAGAGAGAGAGAGAGAGAGAGAGAGAGAGAGATGGTGATCCTCCTACCATTTTGTTGCAGAGCGGCTAATTCCGTGGCGATTGTGCGGTTGATGGCCTTCAGATCTTCCTGCATCTTCCACAAGGTGGTAGAGTATTTGCGCCCTGTGGAGACAGAGATGAAGAAGAAGGAGAAGGAGGAAGAGGAGGAGGAGGTGAGGGCTGCCTGCCTGCCTGCCTGTCTGCCTTGAACCCGTGTCCCTGCCTCCTCCATGTACCTCCCTTTTTTCCTGGCCTTGCTATCCTTCCTACGTTCTGGGGTCACTTTGCAGATTATGGACCTCAGCCCATTGCGGCCCCTTTAAATCAATCTTTTGTGCATGGTTGTGATTAATTGTGTGTTATACAGTGTGTTTTAGGTTAATTGACTAGAAGAACACAGCCCTCTGTTTGCTGCTAGAATATATTATCAACAACGGTGTTCCTAAAAACATTTTCTCCTTCTAGGAAGTTTACCTACAAGCAACAGACTTTATTATTTCTGGGTCTCTTGTAACGTTAATTAGTAGCTTCTCCTTAGCAATTTACAGATCACCACAACTCAGGTGTCGACCCTCTGAACTCTGTTACTCCCCACTAACTGGGGGGGGGGAGACTCATAAATCGTCTCCCTTTGCTGCTTTTTCAAGCCTCCATGGATGTAAAAAAGAAATATTTTAAGGAAAACAACAGGTGATCACAGGGAGGCTGCAACGGTCGTAGGTGTGAAAAAAGATCGTACGTCGTTTTCCGTGCCTTTGTAACGTTGAACGGTCGCTAAACGAATGGCTGTAAGTTGAGGACCACTTATAGGCCTTCCCAGACCTGCCCAACCACCTCAAGCCCCCCTCCTCCCCCCAACCAGACTCCTGAGGGATACCCACCCACAAAGCCGAAGACAGTGATGGAGAGGGTCACCACGGCCAGCAGCCCCATCAGGACGAGGGTCACCCGCCGGGCAGAGCAGACACGCTGGCGCCAGGAGTCCTGGGGGGCAAACCCTGCCATGGCTGGAGGGGACACAGAACAAAAAGCTCTCTGTTGCATCATGGCCAATGGCTTATAATAATAATAATAACGTTGGAAGGGACCTTGGTAGTCATCTACTCCAGGGGTGTCAACACCGCTTTACAAGGCCTTGGTAAGGCCACACTTGCAATAGAGCATCCAGTTTTGGTCACCACAATATAAAAAAATGATGTTGAGAGTTTGGAAAGGGCAGAGAAGAGCAACGAAGACGATCCAAGGCCTGGAGACTAAAACATACGAAGAACGGCTGCGGGACTTGGGTTTGGCTAGTCTAAAGAAAAGAAGAAATAGGGGAGACACAGCAGCAGCGTTCCAGTATTTGGGGGGCTGCCACAAAGAAGAGGGGGTCATGTTATTCCCCAAAGCAACAGAGGGAAGGACGAGAAAGGAAAGAGGCGGGGATGCAAAGAGGGTAGCGGTGGACATTTCTCTCGTGCCATTATGGAATTTTTTGGGTGGGGGGAAATGGATGCATGCAAAATAAATGAAAAATGTGGTTAATTGCCTTTTTTTTTTACCTTCTTTTTTAGGATTTCCGAGCCGGAGCTGTGGGTCAACCGTCTCTCCTGCCGCCACTGTCGCCAGACGCCCCACGACGGTGATCTTTGGACTGTCCACACCGTCCCTGTGCCAGGTTCAAAAATTTTAGGGTTTTCCAAAGCTGCAGCCGAGATCCGGCTTGGAAGGAAACTGCCCCGTAGCGCTGGGGGTCTCCAAAGGGGAGGAAGGCAGAAAGCCATGACCTCCCTCTGCAAATTTTTCTTTACTTCTTATTATTACTTTATTATTCTTTTATAAAACAGCTCAAGGTGGCAAATATATTATCTAAAATTCCTTTTTCCAACAACAGCAGCTTGTGAGGTGGGGTGGACTGCGAGAGAGGGACTGGCTTTCGTGCCTAAGGTGGGATTAGAACTCTCCGTCTCCTGGTAGTAGTAGTAGTAGTAGTAGTAGTAGTAGTAGTAGTAGTAGTAGTAATAATAATAATAATAATAATAATAATAATAATAATAATAATAAACTGCTCTGGGACTTCAGAATTCAAACAGACAAGCACCTGCAACATAACACCCCAGACTTAACAATTGTCGATAAGAAAGACAAAAAAGTCTGGATAGTGGATGTGGCAGTGCCTGGAGACAGCAGAATAGACGAGAAAGAACTGGAGAAGATAATAAAATACAAAGACCTACAAATAGAAATAGAAAGACTGTGGCAAAAGCAAGCAAGGGTAGTACCAATATTCATAGGCTCCTTGGGTGCAATCCCAAAACAACTGGAGCACCACTTGAACACAATTGGCATTGACAAATTCGCTATTAGTCAATTGCAAAAGGCGGCCTTACTAGGAACTGCTTCCATCCTGCGATGATACCTGTAATACCATCAAACATCCACATCTGCCTATCCCAGGTCCTGGGTAAGGAATCGATAGGTAGACAAAATGCCAAATCCAGTCTGAACATCTGGCTGACTGTGTGATGATCGATAATAATAATAATCCCCCAGTGAGGCACTACCTTGACGTGGTTGTGGGGCTTGTGTACTCTGAGGAAGACGAGAGCTATGCCAGAGGTTCAACCATACTGGACAGGTCTCATCAGAGGAGTCAGACAAAGAGTGTCTCTCCCATAAAAAATATGGTGAGACGTAAATTTCAGAATGCCATAACGGCTCGGACGTCGCCCGGGTTAACAAGGTCCGCACTAGATATTGGAGTTCCTGGATATCTGGTGAAAAATGGGTTACAGGACTCAGGACTGTTGGCTGAGCAACCAGGGCCAGCAGCTGCAGAACTACTGGAAGAAGAGGTGTCTACCCGTTGCAGATACACAGTGACTGAAAACAAAGAAATAATGATCTGTTACTACAGATCAAGTCCAACAAGAAGAGGATATCTAAAACGAATGCACCAGTTCTGGAAAGAACAACATCGAGAATCAGAAATAACAGAACAGAGACTAGCAGATCAACACCGATTTATAATACGAAATAAAGTATTCACAGAAACAGAATTCGACAAACTGCAAAGGTTTACCCAGAGCAAAGAAATCAAAGCCTTACCAGAAATAATTCAGAATGTAGAGGCAAACCAGGGGAAGTTGGCAGTGAAGGAATCCAGCAGAGATATACAACTGTTCTCATTTGGAAACCAGGCACCACTTCCTCAGGAAGAACAAAACCCTCTAACTAAAGAAATAAAAGAATTGAAACAAAGAATAACTGATCTGCAAAAAATATCATATGCCTGTAAGCAAAAACTGGTGGGATCATAAAATAGAGAAAGTCATAGAAAATGATAAAATTAAACTGCTCTGGGACTTCAGAATTCAAACAGACAAGAACCTGCAACATAACACCCCAGACTTAACAATTGTCGATAAGAAAGACAAAAAAGTCTGGATAGTGGACATGGCAGTGCCTGGAGACAGCAGAACAGACGAGAAAGAGCTGGAGAAGATAACAAAATACAAAGACCTACAAATAGAAATAGAAAGACTGTGGCAAAAGCAAGCAAGGGTGGCACCAATAGTCTTAGGCTCCTTGGGTGCAATCCCAAAACAACTGGAGCACCACTTGAACACCATTATCGGCATTGACAAATTCGCCGTTAGTCAATTGCAAAAGGCGGCCCTACTAGGAACTGCTTCCATCCTGCGACGATACCTGTAATACCATCAAACATCCACATCTGCCTATTCCAGGTCCTGGGTAAGGACTCGATAGGTAGACAAAATGCCAAATCAAGTCTGAACATCTGGCTGACTGTGCGATGATCCATAATAATAATAATAAATAAAAAACAACCTGCCTCCAGAAGCGGTGAATGCTCCAACACTGGAAGTTTTTAGGAAGAGACTGGACGGCCATTTGTCCGAAATGGTACAGGGTTTCCTGCCTGAGCAGGTGGTTGGACTACATGATCTCCAAGGTCCCTTCTGAGTCTGTTATTCTGTTATTCTTCCTCCCTCCCTCCCCCAACACTGGAAGTTTTTAAGAAGAGACTGGACAGCCATTTGTCTGAAATGGTATAAGGTTTCCTGCCTGAGCAGGGGGTTGGACTAGATAACCTCCAAGGTCCCTTCCAACTTTATTATTATTATTATTATTATTATTATTATTATTATTATTATTATGTTGGAAGGGACCTCGGAGGTCATCTACTCCAACCCCCTGCTCAGTCAAGAAACCCTACACCATTTCGGACAAATGGCTATTCAGTCTCTTCTTTAAAACTTCCAGTGTTGGAGCATTTACTGCTTCTGGAGGCAGGTTGTTCCACTGGTTAATTTTTCTCTGTCAGGAAGTTTCTCCTTAGTTCTAGGTTGCTTCTCTGGAGGCTAAAACATATAAGGAACGGTTGCTAGAATTGGGTATGTCTAGTTTAACGGGGGGACACGATAGCAGTATTCCAATATCTCAGGGGCTGCCATAAAGAAGAGGGAATTAAGCTATTTTCCAAAGCACCTGAAGGCAGGACAAGAAGCAACGGGTGGAAACTAATCAAGGAGAGAAGCAACCTAGAACTAAGGAGAAACTTCCTGACAGTGAGAACAATTAACCAGTGGAACAGCTTGCCTCCAGAAGCAGTAAATGCTCCAACACTGGAAGTTTTTAAGAAGAAACTGGACAGCCACTTGTCCGAAATGGTGTAGGGTTTCCTGCCCGAGCAGAGGGTTGGACTAGATGACCTCCAAGGTCCCTTCCAACTTTACTTTACTAATATGAACATGAGTTTCCATCCGTTGCTTCTTATCCTGCTTCAGGTGCTTTGGAGAATAACTTGACTTCCTCTTCTTTGGGGCAGCCCCTGAGATATTGGAACGCTGCTATCATGTCCCCCCTCGTCCTTCTCTTCATTAAACTGGACATACCCAATTCCAGCAACCATTCCTTATATGCTTTAGCCTCCAGTCCCCTGATCATCTTTGTTGCTCTCCTCTGCACTCTTTCTAGAGTCTCAACACATTTTTACATTGTGGTGACCAAAACTGGATGCAGGATTCCAAGTGTGGCCTTACCAAGGCCTTGTAAAAGGTATTAACCCTTCACCGGATCCTGATTCTATCCCTCTGTTAATGCAGCCCAGCACTGTGTTGGCTTTTTTGGCAGCTGCAGCACACGGCTGGCTCCTGTTTAAGTGATTGTCCACTAGGACTCCGAGGTCCCTCTCACAGTTGCTAGTATTGAGCAAGGTACCCCTTATAATATACCTATGCATTTGGTTTTTCTTGCCTAAATGTAGAACCTTACTTTTTTCACCGTTGAATTTCATTTTGTTAGATAGCGACCAGTGTTCAAGTCTGTCCAAATCCTTCTGTATCCTAAGCCTGTAACTTCTGCAGTGTTGGCTATTCCTGCCAGCTTGGTGTCGTCTGCAAATTTGATGAGTTCCCCATCTATCCCTTCGTCCAAATCGTTGATGAAGATGTTGAAGAGTACTGGGCCCAGAACAGAGCCCTGGGGCACCCCACTACACACTTCCCTCCATGCAGATGCGGTTCCATTGAGGACCACATGCTGAGTACGGCCGGTCAGCCAGCTTCAGATCCATCTGGTGGTGATTCTGTCTACCCCACATTTTTCTATCTTGTCAAGTAGTAGGTTGTGATCTACTTCATCAAATGCCTTACTGAAGTCCAAGTAAATTATATCCACAGCATTCCTCTGATCCATTAATTTTGTCACTTGGTCAAAGAATGCAATAAGATTTGTCTGGCATGATCTGTTTTTGACAAACCCATGTTGGCTTTTAGTAATGACTTTGTTTGCCTCTAGGTGTTCGCTGATTCGTTGTTTGATTATCTTTTCCAGATGATAGATAGATAGATAGATAGATAGATAGATAGATAGATAGATAGATAGATAGATAGATAGATAGATAGATAGGGTGGGTGGCTAGATAGCAACAGACAGGTGATAGATAATGATAGATAGAGAGGGACAAATAGACAGACTGACACATAGGTAGATAAAATGAATAGAATGAATAGATAGATGATAAAATGGACAGAGGGACTGACTGGATGGATGGATGGGTGTTAAAATTGATAGAGATGATAGAGAAAGTAAAATAGAGCTAGAGAGATGATAGAAAACAGATGATAGAGCTAGAGAGAGAGAGAGCGATAATAGATGAGAAGGATGGATGAATGGATGGACGGAGGGACAGACAGACAGAGAGACAGACAGAAAGACAGATAGATGGGCAGGCAGGCAGACAGACAGATAATAGAAATAGAAATATGATAGAGCTAGGGACAGATAGACAGACAGACATAGATGGCTGAATGGATGCCGTCCAGAGTCAACCAACGGTAAGTTTGGTGCCCACAATTTGATTCTTAATCAATCAATAAATAAAACAGGATAAGCCACAAAAAACCCCAAAGACAGAACACCGCCCGCTCAGCGTGTTGTGTGAAGGCCATGCTGGGATCCCAGGATGGACCCCCACCCCCACCCAGCTCAGGCCTGCCTGCTGACCGATGGGAGCTGCCCGCCCTTCCACTCGTCCAGGATACAGAGAAGAGGCCAATTTCTGCGGTAGATTTTTGTCTCAGATTCGTTTTATTGGCTCCAAGAAGCGTCGGGCAGCTGCTTCACGGGGGTCCGGCTGGCGGCGTCTCCCCTGGGACTCACTGCAGCGCCTGCATTTCGCACATCCACATATGGTTGCTCTGGCAGTAGACGTCGCTCCAGAGCCCGTCAAGGTAGAACATGGCACAGAATTGCTCATTAGTTCTTGGTTTGTTGGGCTGCCAGTCGCTGGAAGGGGCAAAGCAGAAGAGGGGGGGGGTCAGCCCAGGGGTGGGAGGAAGACCCTCTTCTGTCTGTGTGGAAGTGGCAGCTAAGCCAGGCAAGATTTGGAAGGATTCCTGAGGTCATCTAGTCCAACCACGGCCCTCAGAAGCCATCCAATTTTCCCCTGACTAGGGTGAGGGGAACGGGGGGGGGGTCACAAGGAAGGCACCATTTCGTAGCCTGGGGGAATTGTGCAAATTCGCTTGTTTGTGCTGCAGGGGATGCCAATCTGGGTCAGTTGAGGAAACCTGGTTAGTGAACTCTGGGGAATAACAGCTGTAATGTTAGGAAGTTGAGCAGTGAACGTATTGTGAGAATTCAGATAATGACTGGCTTGGGTTCCGTCTCTGGCAAACAAGCCTGCATCAGCTGGGCAGGCGAACTGGAGAAAGAGCACCACTCGGAGATCAAGACTTGACTGATGGAAAGAAGGACTCGCAGGAGTGTTGTGCAACAGGACAGTCCACCTCCAGGTGAAAATGTCCACAGGGGTGTTGGGGAGAAGAGGGGGTCTACGCCCTAATGGGATGCTGGCTGAGGAATTCTGGGAGTTGAAGTTCAGACCTCTTAAATTAGAGAATTCTGGGAACTGAACACCTGGGATCTTAAACGGAATTCTGGGAACATTCTAAAGGGAATTCTGGGAGTTGAAGTCTGCCTCTCTTAAAGTGGCTGAGGTTGAGAAACATTGCTGGAAGAGAGTATCCAGAGCCCATGGGGCACAGCTGCCTTCTCCAGGGCAGTGTGGGCCCCAGGATCCCACCAGGTGCTCCTTGCATGTTCAGCAATATCTCACCGAAGATGTGGGGCCGGCTACATGGTCCCCACATCGCTGCTTTGAATGCCTGGAGGGCTTATCCCGTGACCCCCGTGCCCTCAGGGTGCCAGGGGGCTTGCGCTGTGCAATGAAGCCCCTGAGTGTCTGTTTCCAGGAGTCCAGTAGCGCAAGGGGGTTTCAGCATCTGAAGACCCCCCCCCAGGAGGACAAGTGTGCAAGTGTGCAAACACAAAGCTTACAGTCTGGAAATGGACCTGCTAGGTGCCAATGCTGCCCCCCAAAACCAGAAGCCCAACACAGGAGAGGGAGGAGAGAGGCGAGTGGGCAGACTCACGTGCTGCGCACCGTGTAGGGGGTCTCATCCACCCACTTCCACGTCCCGCCTTCACACCTCAGCCCGATCCAAACACTGTACCCTTTGGTGAGCTGGAACACAAATTGCTACGCGAGAGAAAAAGGCAGAGCAGGCATCAGCCGGACACCGAGGGTGTCCTTGGCCCACCTCCCTGCGATGGATGGGGAAGTGGAGACACTGACCCTCTCTTCGTAGCTGGTGATGATCACCAGGTGGGCTTCTTTCCCTTCGCAATCCTGCTTGGCATGGTACCAGCTGTTCACGTCAAAGGAGATAGAGTAGCAGCTCTGCTGAAAGAGATGCCAGCCCCGGGGGCAGCAGCCCCTCTCCTGCCCTGTGGGGGGGGGTGGAGGAGGAAGGGGCAAGAAGAGGGGGCATCATTATAGCTGGGGCGGGGGACAGGAACGCGGTGGGCAGCACTGGGAAATTGCGGCTCCTTTGCGGTCGTAAGGCGAGGACCTCCTGTGCAATCCAGAGATCTGGAGAGCACTGGGCTAGGAAGATCCCCCCATCCACCCCCACCCCGTTGTCCCCCCCCCATCTGGGTCACCTGTCTGGTTGGGTTTTGTGTTATCCAAGTCGCAATTCAGCTGCTCCAGAGTCTCTTGACGTTTCTTGATCTGGTCCTGGAACTGGGATTTCACTGGAGGTGGAAAAGGGGAGCGTCACTCCTCGGTGTTGTGTCTGGGCGAGGGAGGGTCTCTCCCGAATGCGGGGGGGCCAAAGGGGGGCTTTTCAATGCCTCCTTACTTCCAAATTTACCTTTCTTTGCTTCTTCAGTGAGATTTTTCACCATCTGCTCGACGTTTTGCAGAGTTTTCTCGTTGTTGGTCTCTGGGAAAGATGTAAACAAATCAGAGCAATGTTGCTCAACCTTGTCTGATGGAAGATGGGTGGACTTCAACTCCCAGAATTCCCCACTAGCCAGCCTGGCTAGTGGGGAATTCTGGGAGTTGAAGTCCACCCATCTTCCAGCAGACGAGGTTGAGAAACATTGCATTAGAGCAGGGAATCTCCAAAGTTACTTGGCACTTTAAGCCTTGTGGACGCCAACTTCGATGGCTGGCTGAGGAATTCTGGGAGTTGAAGTCCACGAGGCTAAAAGTGGCCCCCTCTGGAGAGCCTTGGGTTTGAGCGTCAAACATTCATGGAAGAACAGAAGCCAGGAAGGAGAGAGAGAGAGAGAGAGAGAAAGAGAGAGAGAGAGAGAGAGAGAGAGAGAGAGAGAGAGAGAGAGAGAGACGGTGGTCTTCCAAAGGTGCCTCCATCTTGGACCGTGCCAAGCCCACAGCAATGCACCCCCACCCCCACAGAATTGCCCTAAAGAAAACCCAGAGATTGGCAGATCGTTTTTCGCCCCCCCAAACCTGGGATTTTGTGACTTTACCGTTTTGTTGCAGAGCAGCTAATTCCGCGGTGATTGTGTGGTTGATGGCCTTCAGATCTTCCTGCATCTTCCACAAGGTGGTGGAGTATTTGCGCCCTGTGGAGATGGAGATGAAGAAGAAGGAGATGGAGGAGGAGGAGGAGGAGGAGGAGTCTGCCTTCATGCGTTGAACCCATGACCATGCCTCTGTGTACCACCCTCTTTTCCTGGCCTTGCTATCCTTCCTACGTTCTGGGGTCACTTTGCAGATTATGGACCGCAGCCCATTGCGGCCCATTTAAATCAATCTTTTGTGCATGGTTGTGAGTAATTGTGTGCTATACAGTGTGTTTTGGGGCAATTGACTGGAAGAACACAGCCCTCTGTTTGCTGCTAGAATATATTATCAACAATAAAAAGATTTTTCATCAAAAGATTTTTTCCTTCTAGGAAGTTTACCTACAAGCAACAGACATTATTATTTCTGGGTCTCTTGTAACGTTAATTAGTAGCTGCTCCTTGGCAATTTACAGATCGCCACAACTCAGGTGTCGACCCTCTGAACTCTGTTACTCCCCACTAACTGGTGTGTGTGGGGGGGGGAATTAATAAATCATCTCCCTTTGCTTCTTCTTCAAGCCTCCATGGATGTAAAAAAGAAATATTTTAAGAAAAGGAAAACAACAGGTGATCACAGGGAGGCTGCAACGGTGTGTGAAAAAACGGTGATGTCGATGTTTTCTGTCCCTTTGTAACGTTGAACGGTCACTAAACGAATGGCTGTAAGTTGAGGACCACTTATAGGCCTTCCCAGACCTGTCCAACCACCTCAAGCCCCCCCTCCCCCCCAACCAGACTCCGGAGGGATACCCACCCACAAAGCCGAAGAGGATAATGGAGAGGGTCACCACGGCCAGCAGCCCCATCAGGACGAGGGTCACCCGCCGGGCAGAGCAGACACGCTGGCGCCAGGAGTCCTGGGGGGCAAACTCCGCCATGGCTGGAGGGGACACAGAACACACGGTTCGCTGTTGCTTCAAAGAATATAGCACAGGTAGTGTTAATACCACTTTACAAGGCCTTGGCAAGGCCACACTTGCAATAGGGCATCCAGTTTTGGTCACCACGATATAAAACAGATGTTGAGACTCTAGAAAGAGTGCAGAGGAGAGCAACAAAGATGATCAGGAGACTGGAGGCTAAAGCATATAAGGAATGGTTGCTGGAATTGGGGATGTCTAGTTTAACGAAGAGAAGGACGAGGGGGGACATGATAGCAGTATTCCAATAACTCAGGGGCTGCCCCAAAGAAGAGGAAGTCAAGCTATTTTCCAAGGCGCCTGAAGGCAGGACAAGAAGCAACAGATGGAAACTGATCAAGGAGAGAAGCAACCTGGAACTAAGGAGAAACTTCCTGACAGTTATAACAATTAATCAGTGGAACTCCTTGCCTCCAGAAGCGGTGAAAGCTCCAACACTGAAAGTTTTTAAAAAGAGACTGGACAGCCATTTGTCCGAAATGGTGTATGGTTTTCTGCCTGAGCAGGGGGCTGGACTCAATGACCTCCAAGGTCCCTTCCAACATCATCATCATCATCATCATCATTATTATTATTATTATTATTATTAACAGGAAAATAGTAACACAATAAATGTCAACACTGAAATTAACCACGATGGCTAAGGAAAGTGGCGGGGATAGAGGTGGAAATTTCTCTCTTGCCATTATGGTTTTTTTGGGGGGGGGGACGCGTGCAAAATAAATGAAAAATGTAGCTTAATTGCCTCTTTTTACCTTCTTTTGTAGGATTTTCGAGCTGGAGCTGTGGGTCAACCGTCTCTCCTGCCGCCACTGTCGCCAGATGCCCCACGCCGGTGATGTTTGGACTGTCCACACCGTCCCTCTGCCAAATTTTTGGGTTTTCCAAAGCTGTAGCAGCTGCCTGAGACAGACCCCCCCAGTAGTGACCGAAAGCTTTAACTTGAACTTTTTGTTGTTTCAGAATACGGATGTATTATTCGTAATCTGCTGAGCTTTGTGCAATATAAAATCGCAAAGTAGGTAGTTCTCTCTCTATATATATTTGGAACGTAAGAATTGTAACCGTAGAAAAAGAGGACGTGAAAGTAGCAGAGGGATAGAGATTTAAGATGTACACGGGTGCACGCTGACCAGCACAAAAGAACAAGGAACTGCTTTTGCAAAATAAGGATTAAAATGTCAGAACTTCAGTTCCAAGAATCCTCTTATTTAAGACTAGCTGTTCCCGGCCACGCGGGGGAAAGAAAAGAGAAGAGAAAAGAGAAAGCGCACGTTTGTAAGATGTTTAAGTTCACAGTGCTTGTGGGTGTACAATATTTTTTGTTGTTCCATTGTCTGTGCCAGCGGTTCTCAACCTATGGGTCGCGACCCCATTTGGGGTCAATCGACCACTTTTCAGGGGTCGCCAAAGGCGGTGATCCGCCATTTTGTCCCCTCCGGGGGTGGCGCCGCGCATGCGCACTGCGCATGCATGCCGCACATGGGGGCAGCGCCGCGCCTCCGGGGGGCAACGCCGCGCATGCGTGCCGTGCATGGGGGTGGCGGCGCGCCTCCAGGGGTGGCGCCACGCATGCGTGCCGCACGCGGGGCCCCACCCCCATGCGCACCACGCCATGCATGCGCATAACGTTTGTGTGACGGGGTCGCCGTCACAAACGTTGAGAACCGCTGGTCTGTGCAGATAGAGAGACTGTCTGAAATCGTAGCGTGTGTTGCTTTTACGTCCAACAGATGGCACTGTTTTTCAAAAAAAAAGCATGTTTTTACCTGTCACAGGTGTGACATCTATATAATATAGGTGTCTGAGAGAGTTTGCAGGAGCTTGGTTGGGAAGGGAGAGATTGGGACAGCTGCAGCTGGCTTTGAGTGTGGCTGAAGATAAAAATAGAAAAGGGAAGCAAAGCAAAAGCCCGGGGCTGCAGTTCGGCAGGGGAAGGTAAAGGAACTGGAAGTTTTATTTGCTTTTCTTCGTAAGGAGGATATTTTAAACAGAGGCTTAGAGCAGTGGTTCTCAACCTTTTTAATGCCACGACCCCCAACCGGTCGTATGTCGAGGACTAAACCGGTCGTAAGTAGAGGACTTCCCAACCGGTCATAAATCAAGGACTTTCCCTGCCCGGGAGCGCCGCGCATGCGTGGTGCCGCCCCCTGCGCCGGCCGAGGCGTAGCTGGCAAGCGGCAGAGACGGAGCAGGCCGACCACCGGCTGGGCCACCAGCTGGCCCAGCCCAAGGGAAGTAAAGCACCCGCCGGAAAAGGGAAAAAAAAATGGTGGACAGCCTTGCTTGGCGACCCCCGTGAAATGGTCGATCGACCCCAAATGGGGTCGCGACCCACAGGTTGAGAACCACTGGCCTGGAGGCTATTTGGACTGCGACTATTGCTGCTGGTACAGGTTTTGGACATTGTGTGTGTGGGGGGGAGCTGCCCTGGGGGACAAGCTATTGCTACAGCACACTGACTGTTGTTGTTCGTACTACTGTCTGGAGCCGGGGTTTTCCTCCATCCCACTTGACTCTGAACGATCGCTAAGGAATCTCTTATTCCTGCTGCTATGCCGGCCTTGGGCTGTTGGATATCATCATAGCATTGACTATCGTGACTGGTTATTTTCATTCCTGGAAGGCCCTCCTTGACGACAAGAGCCGGCTACCTACTAACTCTGCATGAACTCCGGCTGGAAGAGACATCTTAGCAACCCCTAGAGAACACTACGGCAGGGCTTGACACAGGGGGCTGGGGCTGGGAGGGCCTGGTTTCTGGCAGCCTGTGAGAAGGTAACGCTACACAGGTATATATGTAGAAACACACATGTATTCGAATGAAATGTTGTGTCAAAATTTCAAAGCAATCGGTGAAGAACTTTCGGAGATTTAAGATTTTGAACAAACAAACATTCACATTTTTATTTATATAGATATCTGGACTTCAACTTCCCAGAATTGCCTTTAAAAAGCCAGGATTTCAACTCCCAGAATTCACTTTAAGAGGTCTGGACATCAGTTCCCATTATTACCTTTTTTTAATCCGAAGTAAAAGAAGAAGAGAAACGTGGATTGGTCCATGAGGAACCCAAAGCCGCTGAGGTGTCAACATCCAGCTCCAGAATCCAAATAAAACTCAGAGTTCATTCCATCTCCGAAAATCTATTTATTGAATACACCGCATGGGTATGTCGAAGCAAAACTAACTCTGAGGTTCTCACACCAGTTCAAGACTTAAACAATAATTTTCCCAGCCAAATCCCCCCCCCAACGTCTTATGTCGTCCATATCAACAAGCTCACTTTGTTATAGGAACCATCTGCTTCAAATCCACACCTGTTCTGGCGTGCTTGAAAAGGATTCAGGCTCTCACGCAGAGGCATGTAGCTACCGAAGTGTCATCCCTGACCTGCGATCTAAGTGATGGAAATGCGGGAAGACCCTGCGTTCCTTTGTTTTTTAAACCTGGGTTTCAGGCGCTGTAGGAACTGGCCAAAGCTAGAGGGCTCTTGCACGCCGTCTAGTCCAACCCCAGCTACAGCTGGTGCCCGATTTACAGCCGTAATGGAGCCCGCAGTTTCAGTTGGAACTGAAAATGGGAAGCGAAGGAAGAAGGGAAAAGTGGGTGGGTCCACGTGGCGAAGCCCAAACTTGCAGAGACCTCCTATGTCTGGCGGCAATCAATCCAGGCGACTGCTGTGGCTTTGGGTTTTTTTTAACCTGGGTTTCGGGCGTTGTAGGAATGGGCCCAAACTAGAGAGCGTACGAGAATAACGGAGCTTTGGCATGTGTGGAAAAGGGAGCCCACCCTGTGTCAAAGGAGGAGAGGGTCAGCTTCTACAGCCCGGGGATAAGGTTATGGGTTGCCCCCTCCCTCGGCTCTGCTTCCTCCCTCCCTCCCTCTCTCTGTTCCAGGCCTTTGGTTCACCAAAACCCTGCAGGAGACCCAGAAGGGCGTGCAAAATGTGAGCCAGACGATCCAGCAGGGGGTCACCCAGCTCAAGGGCAAAAGTAAGGAGCCAGAGGGGGGCGAGAAGCAGCGTGCAAGCCCCCCACCCCCTCTTCCACCCCCAGCCCCAATTTCCCAGGTGAGATAGGCATCCGCTGGGGTGCCTATCTTACTGGAGAACGGGGAGTGACATGTCTCTTGGGGTGTCATAGGAAGAGGCTGCTGGTGCGATTCCTGCCAAGGAAGGGGTCCTCCTTTCCCCACCGTCCTCGAATCAAGGACTCTTTGGGGCCCGTGGCCATTGGCCCCGCTCTGACAGGGCTCTCGTTTTTGTCCCCTTTAGGCCAAAACACCACCTCGAAACTGGCTGCGCTGCAGAAAATTTTGCTACAGGAGGAGGATAAATGGTTGAAATGAGTTGAGGTCCACGAGTCATGAAGGGGCGGGTTTGGGGACCCCCTGCATTAGATGATCAACCAGTCAAGACACACATCACTATGTCCCAAGAACATCACAATTGGCCCAACCTCATTTGCTCACCCACCCAATTTCTGCCTCCCCCCCAGATCCCAGGGGATCCCCTCCCCTGGAGCCAAGCCCCTCCGCTCTGCCCCCCAGATTGCCTTGGAGAAAGGCTGCACCCAAATGAGGCTGGGGGTGCTGGACTGGAACCGCTCAGCCCTCGAGGGGCTGTGGACCTG